GTCCCTCAACAAAAAAAACATGTGCCCAAAACAAGTATAACAACAAAAATAAGTTGCCTTACAAAAATGAGACATATAGCTCAACACAGGATATAAGGCACAAGGAAATCCAATTCTACTGAACAGATACCAGACAACAGACTGCCTGCTTGCATCACTGTGCACTTTTTATTGACTGAAAACATCAAACTACCACTTCTTACATGTGGTTAAGAAGCTCACCAGATGCTGCAAACTAGCAAACAGAATTTCAAGAACAAATTTGAAATGAATTGAGGAAACACGTGGAGTCCTGCCTTCTTCACTCGATAACATTGGAAGCTATGCAACTATGGCTGTCTGCAATGCTTGATGTGGGATAAAAGTGGATATCAGGTGCACGCCATAAAAAAAAATGTTTGCATTCGTTAAGTTCCTTATGTCAAAATGTCTCCAAGCACTTCACAATAATTACTGTTAAGTATAGTGGCTACTTGTAGTAATCAGACTTGTGTCCAAATGCAAATACATCTGCATTTGAATTTGCATTTAAATGTGTTTAAGACAGATGTTACCATTTGCTGAAGGCAGATGCCCACCAGATATCTAATGAGGAAACTCTGAGGCTTGGGGTGACAGCTGCTGGAGGGTTTTATCTGGAGTCCAAGATCGTAACACACATTCAGATGTCACAATAAGCTTTGTACTGCCTGTTGCATGTTTTTCTTCCCAAATAAAAAATGCCACGTCAGTATCCAGCATTTTAATGCAGCCAAAGAATAAAGCACTTCCTTTTTACTCCACATGCCTGATAATAATCCCTCAAAAAAAACAATAATAAATTGGTCACTTCAATCCACGACTGTTTGTGGGGCACTGTTGTGCATAATTGGCTGCCGCATTTCGCCCACAAATATACAGTCAATTCACTTTACAGTCTATTCTGTGAAGCACTTTGAGACGTCTAGAAGACATGAAAAGCGCTATATCAAATGCAAGGATTATTAGTATTTTGGCACTTGTAAGATTACAGAACATTTGCATTCAAATGGACTTCTCTGCATTTGAACCCAAGTCTGGTAGCAACCATGGCAGCCAATATGCGCACAGCAATATCCCATAAACAGCTGTGAAGTGAATGCCCAATTTAATGGGAGGATTTGCACAATGATGATTTAATATTTTGAAGCAAGTGAAGACCTAGCTTACAATTAATTTCAAGAGTAGAAACATCGCACAGTAGAACAGCGACGTAAGCAAATTGAAAACAAGGGTACAAAAAATGAAAAAGAAAATGTCCTATTCACAATACCAATCCATGAAACTCTTGCAACTCAATAAAAATGTTTTGGCTCAAGTCATGGATATAACAATCTGTAAAATCCCTAACACATTTCAGATCTGGACAGCTTCTTCAATAATTACGTTTACTGCCATCCATTAAAATAAACAGATGTGTATTCTGCTTGTTTGTATACATTGTATACATTAATGCTTGAAGTTTTACTACTGAATTTACTACATAACTTATTCTGTAAAACTTAATTTATCCAGTCGGCATTACTTCTGAAAAATAAATGTGCTGAGCAAAAAAACGCCTTGATGGATAATTATGATATCCACTGGAGACTGGAAACTGTACATCAGCATTGTAAAAACACAGTATTTTATGAATGAGAATAACAGAACAAACTATCAAACCTTACAAAAGGAAAGATGCCCCGAAATGCAATGGACATAGTAAAATCATTGAACTGATTTAAAACTGTTGATTTGGTCACTCAATCCGCGACTATTTTTGGGACACTGCTGTGGGCAATTGGCTGCCGCATTTCGCCCACAGAATATACAGTCAATCCACTTTACAATATATTTTGTGAAGTGCTTTGAGATGTCTCCATGATGTAATAAGGTGCTATATCAAATGCAAGGATCATTATTAGTTCTGTAGTAGTCAGAAGACAGTATTGTCTTCTGAAGGGAACTGTATTTTATCCTTTGGTAGAAAATTTAGTTTTAAAAGTTGGCAATGAAAAATGTCCTTTTCCCTCAATCAAGGGTTTCTCTCATCTGCAATTAAACAGCCTCTTAATCACATCAAGCCCATCTCCTCTTTTGCCTTCACATTCATTCTTCTCCCCTTCTCATTGTGCATCAGTCCATTGCCCTAAACATGTGTCTGACATATGCGGAAACCCATCAGATTGTTGGAATGGAATGAGCACTCTCTCCTTGGAGGGACACATTCTGCTTATCGAATTTCGGAGAGTATTAGGCACAATTATAATAATAATAATATAATAATTGGCAGGAGCCAAGGCTTGGGACCCCAAGAGTGTGCATTGGGGTACTGCCAATGCAGCTAAAACTGCATTGGTTGCCATTGATAGCACTGGACTGTATGTCCAGCTATGACCAACCAAAATGTTAGGGCTTTGGCTTGCAGGGTTAACAGGAGCTGACTGGGATGATTCCCTGCCCTCAGTGACTAGTCTGCCCTCCCAAGACCTGCCGATGAGCCAGGCTGGCTGTGCTGTCATCAGCAGTGTCCTGGAGTACTGCATACCCGCCTGGCTCAGAAGCCAGAGAGAGCTGGCTGGATTCCGGCATTCAATTGCCAAACATGTCAACTTGGAGCCAGTTCAGCTCAAACGACAGCCCGAAGGGAATAGCCTTACTCCGCAAGTATCTTTCTATCTTCCCTTTAAACATTTGTTTAATTCTACCACTACCCTTCAGCTTTCTGCAGCAGTGCATTCATACCCCACGCCCTGTGTGAAAAAATGCTTCCTGACCTCAGCAAAGAAAACTACATCCCAAAACCTCCAACTTTTCATGAACCAGTGTCTGGCTAAAGCCAATTCCCTCCTCTATTGGCTGTAGCCAAGCACAAGCAGAAGCAGTTTCATCCATTTCTGTGATTTTCTCAATATATTCTTTAAAGAATGCACAATGTTGAGGTACTGCTTTATAAACACTGCTCATCCTTATAGCAGGAGAAAGCTGAATCATCCCCAAGTGTATGACTACTTCAAAGATTTTATAACTTGCTTTTAATGATTCCTTCCAGCCATTAAACTGAATTTTTATAGTTCTGACCTCAGTAATATAAACACAAGTGCTAAAAAATGCTAGCATGTAATGAATGGCCTGATTTCTATCTGATCGTTTGGACATTGATGGTGACATGCTGTAGTAAATGTCCAAACTCAGAGCAGTTTCACTTCTGACTGCAGGAGAATAAGGCAGGAGATAATTGGCTGTTGCTAAGGACTGGGTCACAAAGTTGGAGATTTGGGGATGGTTGTTTTCTTGGCTGAAGTATTGCTTTGATGAATGATTTTTAAAATAAAGTTATACTGTGCGTCTTACTAAATAAATTTTGGTTTAATATGTAATTTTATTGTCATTTTCAACACTGTAAGTATCAACGTTTTTGTCACCAAAAAAACAAAGCATTGAGTAATTACATTTTGAGATGCCATTTTTTGTGAATGTAATTTGTATCTCAGTCTACTAGTCAATTCTTGCAAGTATGTAGGCAGCTGTTACTAACATGTTCATGTTGCTAATTTTTCAGAACGATATCTGCAAAAGCCTTTTGTGCTATTTTTTCTCCATATGCAAAGTTTTCTCATTAACTTTACAGGAATGTTGTCTCAGGACAAAAGCTATACCTTTTTAAAATAAAAAGATGGAAAACAGATGTGTACAGCCTTATTACACATAGGTATAAATAATTTGCAAATGCTTACATTATTTCTCAGATTTCAGTAGGAATGAGCTGAACACTTTTTCTCGCTTCCACTCAAAAGATTGTAACACAAGTTAAATAGTCTCATCCCAGAAGTAACAGCCCAATGACTAAACACTTAGTACAAGTTTCCACTAAGTAATATTCTTACTCAGAAAAGCCTGTGTCAGAACAAGTAAAATTATGCTTTCTGGCCTCATGTATTGGTTTAGCTCTGATTTGAAGTTTATACCCACCTTTTTTTGGATCCCTCTACAAGAGATAAGAGTCAACCTCCTTGGGGGGGTGGGGGAGGGGGATCTCCTTGGAGCTCCTCTGGCTCTGAGATGATATGTTTGGCAACGGAATCTCGGAATCGAGCCAGCTCTCTGTGAATTCTCGGTCGTCCGGTTCCTGAGCCAGGAGGGTCCACAGTACTCCAGAGCACTGCTGATGAACGACAGCACAGCCAGCCTGGCTCATTGGCAGAACTTGGAAGAGCAGACCATCAATGGGGACAGACAATCCTCCTACTCACCTTCCGTTAACCCTGCAAGCCAAAGCCTTAACAGGTAGGGTAGGCTGAGCTGGACAAGCAGTGGTAAAGCTTGCCAGACAGTGGTATCAACGGCAAGCTAAGCGGTTTTAGGTGGTTAGACTCCAGCAGTAACCCCAACGCACACTCTGGGGCCCCACGCTTTCGCTCACGTGCGGTGCATGGAACTCGTTTGGTTACCTTTTAAGCATGGGTTTCCGCCTGTGCCAGACCAAAACAAAGCATCCCCAATCTAACTTGTCAATGACTATCACTATTTTAAGGCAAGCTATGCAGTTTTAGTTGGTTAGACTCCAGCAGTATCTCAAAGCACATTCTCGACAACCTGCGCCTAACACTTTCAGGAATTATGTAAGCAGGATGAGTCCTTCCAGGGAGTAAATGCGCATTCGATTCCAACAATCTATCTCTGGTATTTCTATGTGTAGATGGGATGCCAGGAACACTCAATTTTGTTTGGATACTCTTAAGCATCATGATGGTTTTCCGCATGTGTCAAACACCCAGCTGACCCAAAAAACACTTTTTATATCACATCTTAACCTCTTCAGCTCTCAAGAAAATTACAAAACGTACGAAAGGGTTAATACCAACATGCAACTCGCCCACTCATCACATATCCCTCTGTAATAATTTACTAACAGCTGCACAAAATTAAGAAAATAAAGCCAAAGATTAAGAAAACTATGTGTTGGAAAGATTGCTACAGTTTGCAAAGAAAATAAAACTTACATCTCCTTTTCCATTGGCCACTCCAGTGTGTGCAGATGTTGGGATAACCAGATTTGTAACTGCAACACTGCCATTCATTTCACTGTTAGCGGCTGTTCGCACTCCCGCTGGGACAGGGCTGACGTGCTTGGGTCCACCAATGATATTTATAGCTGGTTGGGAATTAAGGATACCTCTGGGTTGAAGTTGTACGACTGGAAGCTGCGGAAGAACGACTTGCTGACCTAAGGTAGTGAATGAAGAAGACACACATTAGAAAACAAATGACTCCCCTGCCCCCTCGATTCCAACGTTCCGTTGCCAGGCGAGTCACCCTGAAAACAAACTGGACTACCAGCTATTGGGAGGATCTAACTTGGTCAATCATTCGGAAGGTTTTAAATGATTGTTATCTTATAAGTTTTACTGGATAGAAAGTTGGATGTTTGATTTAGCTGCAACAAACTTAAGATTTAATCCAAAACCGTGCATTCTTTTAGAAAAAATAAATTAATAAATTATTGTTCTGATTGAAAATATATTTTCGAGGTCCAGATTGGTACAATCAGGCGAGAAGACCTACGCTTCACTATTCAAGTCTATTTTAGGTAAACCAAAAAAGTCCAAGCTGTACTGCGCACCGGGAACAACAACAAAATTAGATTTATGTAGCGCCTTTCCCATCTGAAGGACATCCCAAGGCGTGTAGGGATCTGCAATCCACTTATTGAGGGCTCAAACCCACACATGTTGGATACCAAATGACCAACTAGAGAAGGGGAATGGGAGAAGGTAAGCGGAGTCTCCCTAGAGCTGAGCTGGTTTCAAGGTAACAAGTTTGGAAACAGTTGTCGGAATCGAGCCAGGTCTCTGTGGTGATCTTGTACAGTTCCTGAGTCAGGCAGGTCCGCAGTATTCCAGGGCACTGTTGATGACAGCACAACACTGACTCATCAGCAGAACTTGGAAGGGCAGGGGACTCTTCATATTCAGACCCTGTTAACTCTGCAAACCAAAGTCCTAACGGATAAGGTGGTCCAAAATGGAAAGCTTGCCAAGCAGTGCTATCAATCGCAAGCTGTGTGGTTTTAGCTGGTTTGACTCCAGCAATTACCCCAGCGTACACTCTGGGTCCCCAGGCCTTGACTCTAGTAACCGAAGCTTAATTCTTTTCAGAGTTAGGGAAGCAGAATGTTCCCTCTGGGGAGAGAGTACAAATTCCATTGCAATGGAATTTCCATGTATGGGTGGGATGCATGGAATTGTGTTTGGTTTGGATACTCTTGAGTTTGGTGGAGTTTCCACATGTGTCAGACACCCAGCTGACCCCCAAAAAGTCCAAGCTACATTCCAAATCGTAAAGCAACAATTTCTATTTATAAAGTATCCTTCATGTAGGATTTTTTTGATGCAGAACCTATCACCATGCTTATGAGCGTCCAATCCAGACAGCGTTCCACAAATGTATGACATTTTCACCCCCAAAATATACAGTATATTCTGTGAAGCGATTTGAGTTGTCTCAAAGACGTGATAAGACCCTGTATGAAATGCAAGGATTATTATTTTCAAATAGCTTGCCATTGAGTACACTGTCTGGTAAGGTTTCCCACTGCTTGTCTAGCTAGGACTGTCCTTCCCATTCAGACTTCGGCTTGCAGGAGCTGAGTGGGAAGAATGCCTGCTCGCAGTAATTGCCCTGACTCTGAAAGTTTCACAAAGGAGTCAGAATTGACAAGTGAGGAGGTGGCGGTGCCTGTGCTGGAAAAGTACTCAAAGTACTGGTGTTTTTCTGAGTTTATTTGCGTTTCAATCCAAATCAGTACACTCCAAACCTACTACAATAACCACATACTCAGGTTTCTGCACAGCACCTGCGCTCTTGGCCCAGTTCCCTGGCGTGTTTCAGAGGTGAGATTTAGGACTTCGGGATCCTGGGATTTGGAGCATTAAAATCCAGACATCCCAGGATTCAGACAGAGCACGAGTCTTGCAACCCCTATTCCCCAGCGTTTTTTATATTTTCTTACTTACTCCTATTGGTTGTTAATTGATTGGCATTATATCTTAAAGGGATATTTCCACAAGGTAGTTGTAGTAGTTTTATAGGCAGTATTTAAAGATAAGCAAACCTGTAAATACCTGTCCCCATCAACATCCCTTGTGTGCTGCTGGCAGTAATTGCAGAAGCAGTGACTGGCAATTGTGTCTAGTTATAGTACTGGATGGGATTTTATCTTTCTTTTAAACATATTTCGCTCACAAAATATACAGTTAATTCACTTTACAGTATATTCTTTGAAGTACTTTGAAACATCACGAAGACATGATAAGACTCTATATCAAACACAAGGATTATTATTAATATTTTTATCTCAACATTTTCTGCCCATAGCCTTCTGAGGTGGTTCCCCACTTTACAACCCTTGTTTGTCAACGAATATCTTGTGGAAGTACACTCTCACCATTTTTTGGCCATTCGACCCATCAAACAAGTGATGCAAACACCAGTACCACACACGTCTCCAAAACCACGAGGATCATGACTGCAAATAATTCCTCAGGATCACTACAGCTCATTGAAGGTGGGAATAATACATTTTATTTGAAAAACACTCCATGACAAACATATGCACCACACAAGGTGCGCAGAACAGTGTACCAGTTGACTGAACATTCTTAGTGCAGTTATAAACACTCCAGATGTATTTGAAGTAACGCATTTTTTGCTGCAACTCCGGTTCTGCTCATTTTAGCATACACTGCAAATGTACAGACTGACAGAAAAAACAATCAAAAACGGTAAAAATAAACAGCATAGTACAAAAAGACCAGCAATCAGTTACACCACTGAAGTTTTGTATTTATTCTGACTCTGTTTGATTCATCCTATCCTGGTCTGTTTTTTTTTGAATGATCCCACAATAAATATTCACACATGGCTCAAGGATAATACAGCCAGAAACATCTGAAGTATTGAGCCTCTATCATTTTCAACCAAAAATGCTTCATATAAGGAATGAAAATTGGAAACTAGAAACTAAAATCTCAAAACTAGAAACAACTTATCTCCCTACATAAATTGATAAGCTGTTGGCTGCTGACTTACTTTTATCCACCAGAAATACTAATAATAATCCTTGCATTTCATATAGTGCCTTATCACGTCTTCGAGAGGTCTCAAATGTTTCACAGAATATACTGTAAAGTGAATTGACTGCATATTTTGTGGGCAAACGCGGCAGCCAATTGCGCACAGCAGTGTCCCACAAACAATGGTGGACTGAGTGATCATTTATTAGTTTTTTGGGGGGAAAAGCAATCCGCCAATCGATTTAATAACCGGGTTGCTACTTCATGCTCAGTAAACATAGGTGTGTGGAGTAAGGAAACTTGCCCAACATTTTGCACTGCCCAGGAATCAAACCCAGGGTCCTTCCTCTCACTTGTGAGGCGAGTGCTCTAACCACTGAGCTACAGGACTCTGCAAATAAATGTTCCACAAATGTTCTAGTTGCTGGAATGTCTTGCAAAAATCTGAAAGATCTGTCTCAATACTATATACTGTTCACTGAAATCTCAGTACTGCATTACATGTTGAGCTCAAATGCTTTAGAAGCCTTTTAAAATCTAAGTGAGCAGTTAAGTATTTTGGTCAGTCAATTTTCTGTTTGTAGCAGAAAAATACTCTACGAAACCATATTCTTTTCTTTAGAGTTATAAATAGTGCATGCATGCTGCATAGAAAATATCAAACATCAATACAAAGACAATGAGCTGAAGACCTATGAGCTTATCACCTGTGCGAGCCATCATTTTTATATAGAACATTATAGCATGAAAACAGGCCATTCAGGCCAAATAGTCTGTGCTGTTATTTGTTCGACACAAGCCTCCACACCATCTCTGTTCTCTTCTCCCTCTTCATGAATGGAAATATGTCGATGCTTTCTGCTTCAACCAAAATTTCCTGCAATTAGTTCCAGATTCTCAAAATCGTTTACGTAAATAAGTTCAACCTGAACCCCCTTTTAGATCTGCTATCAGCTATCGCTTTTACAACTCATTGGCAGTATTCAACTGACTGACATACAGGTGAATATCACATGTCAACTTCTTATTTGTGAAAACCAGGTTATTTTTGGCAGATGTATCACTTTTGAAGATTTACTGCTTGTGCATAAGCAATTGTGAAAACTGCATGACCCTGTCACAAAAAGGTATTAAAATGAAGTTTCAATAGTGCCACCTTTACAACCACACTTGCAACACAAAAACCCATGTGGTAGCATTACAGAGAGACAAGTTTTTAAAAACAATGTAAACATGCAAAACAAAAATGTTCTTCAAAAGTAAATTGCAGGTTATTCTAGGACTGCCACAAGCATCATTTATTATTATTAATAATAGTTGCATTTTGTTATAGCACTTTTCATGTTAGGATGTCTTAAAACGCTTCATATAGTGTAAAGCAGAGTGACTGTGCTTTATGGGCGAACAGAGCAGCCAAACGTGCACAGAAATGTCCCTCAAGCAGCCATGGAGTAAGTGACCAGTTTTATTTGAGTAATGTTGGCCAGTGCACTGGAAGAAACTCCCTTTTGAAGAGTGCCAAGGGATCTTTAATGTCCAACTGAAGAGATAGATGGGCCTCGGTTTAACACAGTGGTGGCCAAGCTTTTTGATTGGCCAACAAAATAATCATAGAAATAAAACAGCGAACATGTGTGTCATAAATCAAGAAATATTCAATCAAGAAACAATGATTTTGTTGGCCAACCAAAGAGGTTGGCCACCACTGGCTTAACATCTCATCCAAAGGAAGGCACCTCCAACGACTGAACTCAGACTTCCACATTCAATTCAGGCAAAATATTTGCCTCATTTCACTGTATGAATAAGACTCGATTCCTTCAACAACATTTCTGACTGAATCAAATCAAAGTCCAGAGTTGGAAATAAAAGTTTACTGAATGGTTATAATAATCATTAGCAGATCACCACAAGAAAGCAATTAGTTTGTTAAAAAAATTGAGCACACTTACCAATAAGTGTGAAGTGTTAAATCATCTTCAGTAGCATGTTTACAGAGAGAGAAATTTAGAGAGGACAGACTACATAATTTTCAGCTTACAAAGCTAACAAGAATGAAAATCTGTCTTGAATCTTGGAGCTTATAAATGGTAGAAATAAAGCCTTCAAAATTTTATTGGAGTACTAGTTCTACAGTTGATCGGGTACCAAGATTGGAAAGGGAGAACTGAATTGCCAAGTTGTAGCCCTGCGGGAGTTGAGATCCAAAGTGGCAGTCAGTCCAATTATGATCAGTTGAGTCTTCTCCAGATGTTTTGAAGTTTCCAAATGGTTTCAGACAAAGTCAGTGGTGCCAAATTTCACTGCTAACACTATAACTGTTGGTAAATTAAGCATTCTTAAAAGTATTGCACTACACATCACTATAACAGTTCTATAAATCACACTGCTTGTTAAATAACACTCACCTGTAGGAGCTGGATAAATTCTTATTGGTGGTTTAGGACCAGGCACCACAGTCTGAACTGGTTGTAATAAAATTGTTTTCGTGGACTGTGATACAGATATAGTAGGAATCAGTATTGGCTTTGGCTGGATAGGTTTTGACATGTGAACAGGCCTCTGCTTTGGTCCATTTGATGGGATACCCGCTGTAAGAGTGGAAGCAAGCAGGTTTCAAATTATTTAAACGTAAAAGAACTAAGATATGGAGGTTGATAAATGAGGCTTGCTAAATAAGTAGAATTAACAAATAATAAAATATCAAGTGTAAAAACTACAGTAAATGATGATTAATTTTATTATGGTCAGTTATTCAACAGGAAATGCAGACTAAAATAAAGCAAATCATGGATTTACTTTGATATTAAAATTTAAACTATTGAATTGGTCGATCGGGAATTAAAACTGAAACAGAATCAGCCTTGTAAACCCTACCCATCTTTTAGAAGCATGTTCCAAGACAACTGTTCTCCCATGTAAGATTAGTAGAATTCAACTTATAAAAAGGACCGTATTGCATTTGCTCTAAAAACTGTCCCACTTCTACGCAAAAAATCTTGGGTCTTCAACTGCAGGAATTCTTTACTGATTAAAAGATCATCTGTAAATTGTAGATTTTATTATTTGTATCTATTGTTACAACCCAACAGACATGAACAGATGCTTTTTACCTGGAATGTTTCTTCAGAGGTTATGAAATGCAGAATTCATACCTGACATTCTCTCTTTCTGTTTCAATTGAGGCACGTTCTCTACTTTTAGCTGGGGCACAGGCACTGAATAATCACTGCTCTCACTGTACAGAGAGGCAGGAGATGCTTGAAATGTTGTAGGGGATAAGCTCACCTCTTCCTGTAAAGGAAAGGAGATGTTTATAGTGGTTCACTTTTAAATAAGCATTTATCATCATTTGACACATTTATTTATTTACAGCTACAGATCTACAATGAACAACGGATTCTATCCTTCAGTCAATAATTAAATGGCTCTACAATATACCTGACCATGCTGAACAAGTGGCCATGCATCTTTCAACCCACATCTTTAGAAGTAAATGAAAATTTAACCGTCAAAGATGCAAACGGGCAATGATCGATTGGTTCAGAATGAGAGTAAACAAGTGAAGCCTTCTTGTTAAAACATGAGAGTAGAGATAAAACTCCTCAACCTTATCTAACATTTATTCTTGATTTCCTCTAGAAAGGCGGATGTATCAGTCTTGGGTGGGTCATCTGGTGGAAGCCCTTTCTTGCACATGAAATTCATTGTACCCCCACTCCTTCCTTCTTCATGTCAATCAAGGAGATATTTTTAATCAAGGGGAGGACATATTTGCAAGGCTATGGGGAGAGAGGGGGGGAGTGGGATTAATTTAAATACCTCTTTCAAAGAGTCAACATGGGCACAATGGGCCGAATGGCCTCCTTCTATAGTGTATAATTCTATAAAATTACAACGTATGTGAAGAAACCTCCAATAAAATAAATTATGGAAAATGCAGAACGAAAGAAAACAAAAATATAGTTTTGTTGCAGGAATCATTTAAGTCAGGTAATGACTGATCCAAGACATGATTTGTGAGATGAGTTTAATGGTGCAACTGTATAAATTGAATTTTACAAGCAGCCCTGGTTCCTGGAATTTTTCACAAGCTTCAGTTTATAGCTAGGCTTAAGCTGGTATCTGTGCACAGAATACATTAAAGGGGTAGTCCACAGCTTTCAAAACTAGAATGATGTGATTTTACAACTATTCTTACCACCCAAAGATAATAATAAAAATAACCAGGATTACAAAACATAGAAAATGCTCACATGTGATGTCAGAGTTGGATCCAAAGAAGGGGAAGGCACGAGACAGCCTAAGGAAGCTGGGGATGAAGGCTCTGACATTAACTGTTCGTCTAGACAAAATAAAAAATTAGCCATTTAGTTATCTTTTCAGATCATTAATCCTACAAAGGTTTCTATTTATGTTAAAATAGGTTTACTTCAAATATTACAAGAAAAACTTTTACAGCACTGTTCACTTAGGAAGAATATCTCCAAGTGCTTCACAGAAACAAAGGGCGAACCAAGACTAAAAATATTTTTCATTCTAATCACAAATGCTGGCCTTTTCTTCTTACCAAGGCAGGTCAAATTATCACAACAATGTTGTTCAATGGACAAATCTATTTCGTAAATCGATCCTCACCAGAATCTAATAGCTCCCTGTATCAATGTCTTCAACCTCCATATAAATCCCCATACCATAGCACTTCTCCTACTTCTCTGACCTCCTATTAACCCAGTCTTCTGCTCAGTGCCTCTGCTCAGCTAACAGGCTAGCTGTCCCCTGTTCCATCCATATCACCATTGATTGTTGAACCTTCATTAAATTTCTAACCTCAAACTTCCGCTTTCTATCCCTCCTTTAAATCCATCTTCAAAACCCAACTTATTACCTACCCAATTGACCATTTCTCTGTACCTCAACTCCAATAACTCACCCTTGCCCCATATCCCTTGCTATACTGACCTAACAAAATCTATCCACCTCAGTCTTGAAAATGTGAATGGATCCAGCATTGACAGCCTTTTGGGGGAGAGAGAATCCCAGATTTCCACTACCCTTTGGGTGAAAAACTGTCTCTTGATTTCACTCGAAATGGCCTAGCTCTAATTTCAAGATTAGGCCCTCTTGTTCTTGATTCACCCAGCAGAGGGAATAGTTTCTCTGTATCTACCCTATCGAATGCCTTTATTATTTTAAAAACCTCAATCAGATCAACCTTTAACCTTCTGAACTCAAGGGAAGACCACAACAACAAAATTACATTTATAGAGCGCCTTTCACGTCGGGAGGACATCCCAAGGCGCTGGACAAGTAGGGATCAGGACCCGAGCATGGGGTAGGGGTGGAATAGGGGTGAGGGAAGGCAGTGAGGTGGGAGGGCGACCGAAGGCACGATCGAAGAGGATGGTCTTGAGACTGGCCTTGAAGGAGGCAAGGGAGAAAGCGAGGCGGAGGGACTGTGGAATGGAGTTCCAGAGTGTGGAGCAGAGAGGCTGAAAGCCTGGCCACCGATGGTAGGGCAGGTCGGGCGGGAGACATGGTGCAGGCCAGAGCCCGATGAACAGAGGGAGCTGGCAGGTTGGTAGTGAATCAGCAGGTCAGAGAGTAAGAGGGGGCAAGGCCGTGCATGGTCTTGAAAGTGAGGATGATGATCTTGAATTCGATCCTCTGAGGGATGGGGTGTCAGTGGAGTTGGGCGAGGGTGGGAGTGATGGGGTCATGGAGGCTGGTGCGTGAGAGTACACAAGCTGCAGAGTTCTGGATGATCTGCAGCTTCTGAAGGGAAGAGTTGGGAAGGCTGATGAGGAGGGAGCTTCCATAATAGAGCCTTGATGTGACGAATGCGTGGGTGAGGGTTTCGGCAGCCTGAGGGGTGAGGCAGTGGCGGAGTCTGGCAATGTTGTGGAGGTGGTGGTAGGCAATGCCGGTCATGGCGCGGATGTGGGGGAGAAAGCACAGTTCAGGGTCAAACAAGACACCCAGATTCCTGATTGACTTAGTGAGGTTAAGTGTGCAGCTGTGGATGCCCGAGGTGCGGAGGCGCTGGCGTGAGCCAATCAGGAGGGTCTCGGTCTTGCTGACATTCAGTTGGAGAAAATTGTCCCTCGTCCAGGACTTGATGTCGGACAGGTTGAGGAGGAAGAAGAGGCAGAGGGAGCTCTGGTCACACATGGTCAGGTTGTCATTTGTGACCTTGACCAGACCACCAGTTTCCGTGTGTGGGCAGCACGGAAACCCAATTAGAGGGGCTCATGGAGGGATTGGGAGGAGAGGAAAGAGCGAAACTGGGAGGCAACGGCTCTCTCAAGGACCTTTGACAGAAAAGGGAGATGAGGGATGGGCCGGTAGCTGGATAGCTATAATGGGTCAAGGGTTTCTTCAAGGTGGGGGTAACAGTGGCTGCTTTGAGGGGGGTAGGAACAGTGCCAGATGACAGGGAGAAGTTGATGATGTCGGCGAGTAGTGGGGCAAGGAGATGGAGCTGGGATTTAAAGAGAGGGGTGGAGATGGGGTCCAGGGAGCAGGTAGTGAGCGTCATGGAGGATATGGTGGTGATGACAGAGGAGGGGGTGACAGGTTCAAAGGTGTGGAAGGAGGAATGGATAGTGGTCGGAGTGTGGGTGGGGGGGTAGGGAGGGGGTAGAAGTTGGGAGGGCAGTGGCAGCTGAGCGGATTCCCACGATTTTGGACTTGAGGAAGTCCAGCATTTGCTCGCAGTGGGAGTCGGAGGAAAGAATCTGGGAGGCGTGGCAGGGAGGGCGGAGGAGCCGGCTGGTGGTGGAGAACAGGAGCCTGGGGTTGCCCTTCTCCTCCAGGATTAACCTGGAGTAGAAAGATGATTTGGTCGACGCAAGAGCGGATCGGCAGGTTTTGATGAGGTCCAGCCAGATATGCCAGTGGACTGTTAGGGTGGATTTGAGCCAAGTGCGTTCGGCAGCCCGTACCTGGCCCTTGAGCGAGCGGAGCTGGCTGGTGAACCAGGGTGAGGATCGGGAATAGGAGGCAGTTCAGGAGGTGAGGGGGGCAAGGGCGTTGAGTGCGGTGGAGAAGGTCCTGTGGAGGAGAGTAAACGCAGAGGATGGTGCTGGATGTGGGCCAGAGGGGGAGGAGTTCAGGGGCAGGAGTTCAGAGGACTCCAGGGCAGCGGAGAAGAATTGTGGGGAGATCTAAGCAACCTGTCCTCATAATTTAACCCTTTAAGCCTTTAACCATCCAATTTCCTGTTTTATTCAACAAACTATTTCAACACCAAACATAGATCACCTAAGTCAACATGAAGAAAAATACCTGGACACAGGCTGCTGGTTTGATTCCATGTATCAAAGTCCCAGGGCATAAAATCCAAATTCAACTCAATATTATCCATGTCAACATCCTAATAGGGAAAAAGGATAAAAGAAAATATATTTAGTTGCATTCATTACAAGTTCATCATCAATATGGCAAGGAAGAGAAAAAAACAGGATTCAACCGTAACTTGCTATAAAAATCTATTGAAAAATCAACGTAAACCAATAGCAAAAAAAGCCATTGGGACTAAAACTACAATAGAAAATCTCATTTTAAGAATATCGCAAATCCCTGCTGTTTTAACTATCCTAATAAGATTGCTCCCCAATGTACACCTATTAAGTTGGTTTATCTATGTACACCTATTGAATAAGGTTCTCAAGTTTAAAGAGTTGGGCCAGAACTCTCCAAATACTGTACAGCATTCCAACTCACACAAACACCTTCTAGTTTCAAGCTCTCAGCCAATGAACTTCTGAATGTATAGCATTTCGATAACAGCTATCGTGACAAACAGCAACTGCCACACAATCCATTAAGTCAATGTGAGACTGCAGCACTTCCCTTTTTCCAACAATTTGAACATGTATTGTTTTAATAAATGAGGGGCGTGAGGAGAAATTGAAAGACGTCATGTACATATTTATAAAATATTTTCATTAGTGGAAGAATCACTCCTGCTTCTGGGTTGCATGTGTACACGTGGCGTGATTCATGTGCAAATTGCTGCAACCCGAACCGAGGACTTGTGCCATCATTCGTTCCTTGCCCTATTCTGTAAGTTGGACCACATTTCACCAAAGATGCGCAATGAAGGATCCTATTAGAAATGTATTTTATTTTCATTTAAAAAAATGACAATGTGTATCCAATAGGAACCTTGCACCCAACTTAATTGTATGATCCTTCGAATGAGATGTTAAAGTAAGGTTGCGCCTACCTGTTCAAGTGGACATTAAAGATCCCATAATTTTGGGGGTCCAGCTGAGTATGACACGTGTGGAAAACAGTATCCAAACCAAACTGAGGATTCCATGCATCCCACCTACACATGGAAATTCCAGAGATAGATTGTTGGAATGCAATGCGCACTCTCTCCCTGGAGAGAAGCATCTTGCTTACCTAATTTCCTTGAAGTATCAGGCACAGGTTGACAAGACCCAAGGCTTTGGAACCTCAGAGTGTGCGTTGGGGTAACTGCTTTGGTCTAACCAGCTAAATCCCACAACACTTTGAAAAGAGAAGGGAGTTTCTCCCGACGTCCACAATCCCCCAAATTGGTCATTCACTGGAATGCTACGGCGGGACATTGCTGCATGTAAATTATCTGCCATGTTCGCCCACAAGATAAACAGTTATTTCACTTTCCAGTGCATTCTGTGAAGCAATGAGATTTCCTCCCAATATGAAAGGCACTAAATCAAATTCAATGATTATTATTGTAAACGGTAGATATCTTTGGTGAAATTGTGCTCCAACCTACAGAATTTTAGCTCCACACAGCTGTTGCTCCTTGCATCAACAACCACTGGAGAACTATGAGGCAATGAAAAGAAATACCTCCAAATTCACAAAAATCAATAAACAACTTTTATTCTGTGGACAAGTCTGCAATACATGTTCACTTGCATTAAATTAATTAAAGATCTTAGTGAAAATATCTATTTGTGTGGAAGGAAAATAAAGAATATCAAAGAAAACATTCCCCCACCCTCGGGGTTCAGCCCTGGAGAAGGTGGCCACTGACAAACGCTCAAAGATCAAAGAGCACGAGTGTCAAGAAAAACAGGCAATGCAGCTGTAAACCACAAAGCATCTTAAATTGGTCACATCATGAAACGTTTGTTGAACACCTGAACCTCAGCTCACAAAGTTGGGAGATATTTGGCTCTCAATTTCATAATGCAATGATGAACAGTGCAGAATTTCTGCCGATTTTCTCCTCCAATTTCCTCCTCTCTTCCTGTCCCAAATGCATTTGACTTTTTTGTTCTATTGTGTTGGGCCACTGACACTGGTCATCCTCCAGTACCTCATCCATTATTCAAGTGTAAGCCTCGACTGAAAATGTCAACAAGCTATTTGATGTTTGGGGAAGCAACCTAGACCCTGCCCGCACCCAGGAAGTTTCAACAAATTATGCCATCAACACAATATAAACACAGCGGGTACAAATCATACTGGAATTGCTCTCAAAAAGCCAATACTAAACTGAATCCATAAAGCATTTAAAAGGGAATATGAAAATACTTGGGGAGGAAATTATTATTGGAGAGAGGCCAAAACGGCCTAATTGTGCTGTGAAATTTCTATGATTCGATTCTTATAGGTTGTTACATTAACCATGTAGAACACCGAACTCCCTTATGAAGGCCGATTGAGTGCCGTGTGAAAGCTATCCACAAAAGTTTCTGAACATATTTGCTGCCTTATACAGTATCAACTTGTAAAAAAAAGTTATGACTGTAAACACTCTGGAACATTAACAAGTGGCTCCATCTACTGTGCTAAACCGAGAACTACATACTTGTTTTAAATTGTGTAACTGTATTACTTAATTCCACTATATTTCAGTTACAGCGCAAACTTTAAATAGGCAATGTAAAAATTTATACATATTTTAAACCAAGGACACAGCCAGCGACGAGGTCTCTCTTTGTATCTGGATGTCTCTCTTTATGTAGGTCTCTCTATCTATCTCTCTCTTGGTCTGTGTCTGTGTTTCTCTGAGGGTCATTTTATGTGTGTCTGCATCTCTCTTTCCCCCCCAACCCCCACCTCTCCCCATCTGAGTCTGTATCTCTCCCTCTCTGTCTGTGTGCATCTCTGTACCTCTCTCTCCTGCTATTAGTTTGAAAGTGATTGACGGGTTCTACTGAATGCCACCTTGTGCTGCTGTTTTTCCCACCGGGTCAGACCAAGCCTGGGCTCCGGACACACAGTGGCGTGGTGCGGCCAATGGGCCACCAGCTGGACCGACCCTGTTCCATTAATTTCCTTGAACTGTTACGTTACTCTGAGTACAATAGCACCACCACCAGGAAGCAGAATGTTCTCCAACATTCTTTGCTTACATTTGTTTCACAGGCCAACAATCATTAATCAAAACCTTCATATGAGCAAACATCTTTGATACTATTTAATGAAACTCAGAAAATTTTACTGTCATCACTTTCAGAAACCAACTCACCGAATAATTTAGCTGAGTAACATTTTAATTTAAGTTCAGCTGTGGTCAGTCACATTAATGTAACTGACAGTTTGCAATTGATGTTTATGTATGTAACCAATAAAATTATTTAATATGCTGCTACAATATGCTATTAACTGGTACTATTAACAAACATACAGTCAGTGTTTGCAAAATGTTCCTAACCCACATACTTGGTGTCAGCTGGCAGCACTCAAGCCTTGTGAATAACAGACCAAGTTGGGACTGAACTCATATAGTTCAGGCTGACAGTGCAAAGCAGTGCTGGGGCAGTGCTTCATCAATGGAGATGCCATCCTTTATTAAACTGAGATCACATCTGCCTACTCAAGTGGACGTTAAAGATCCCATTGCAGTATTCAAAAAGAGAAATGAGTTTCTCCCAGTGTCCTGGCCAACAAATCCCAAGATAAAATTAGTTCCACTTGGCTGTTTGTGATATATTGCTTTGAACAAATTGGCTGCCACGTTCACCTTCACTGTCATGATACCGTTACAGTAAACCCTGAAGTCCTCCCAACTTGAAAGGCGCTCTATCAAATGCAAAGATTATTATTCAAAACCATGTTGAAGGTATTTACTCATTATATACTCTCACAAGAGATACTGCTGCCATCATCCCATAGCATCATTCCTCCATTCACAGACCCATTGTCAGATGTTGCCAGATCAGTGATACTCTTCCTGTCCAGAGAAAAACTGTTTTGAGGAGACAGGGAAGGGAAATCTGATTCTATTCAATGTCAAAGATACTTTCTTGTCCCAATAGTTGTTTTGAGCATATGTTTGTGCGAAAGGAGAGTCTACAATCCACTTATCACAGACACCAAATTTCAAATAGCTCTTTGAGAGCCAAATGTTGTGAGGAGGAAATTAGAGCGAGATCAACAAGAAACCAGTTCAGAAAATATTCCTTCACACAGAGGATTTTGAAAATATGGAATACACTGTTGCAGAAGGCTTTAGATACAATGTCAATTGGGATGTTAAAAGGTAGAAAGATACTTGGAAATAGATGGAAGTGCATTTAAGGCAGGGAAATAGGATTACGACCTGCATTTGCTGAAGTTTACCGGAGCTCACCACTTCAGATCCCAGTGCATACTGAGTTATCTAAGTCTAAGTTGCATCCGCATGGAAAGACCGAAATGGCCCCAAACTTCAGGATCAGGGAAGGTGGAAAAAAGGTCAAAGTTCCTGCTCATGGTCCCTCTGCATCAGCCTCTGCTGGCTGTGCACGAGTGTGGCAGCGGGTGGGAAAAGATCAAGCACAGCTGTGACCATCTCTGCAGTCGAGCTTTATCTGCAGTCAATATCTCACACATGTAAACAATGGCCACCAGAGGGCAACTAGTTCCATGAAACTGCAAGAGCAAGAGAAAGCCAGACTCGGAGCACAGTGAGTAGGCCAGTGACAAGCAAACTAGAAAAAAGATACTTTTTTAAAAAAATTATGTCATGAGTTAATGAACAGGTTCAATGGCCTATTCAGTGGAGTCCTGTAGCTTACACTCGCCTCGCAAGCGAGAGGACCTGGGTTTGATTCCCATCGGGTCGAAATGTTGGGCAAGTTTCCTTACTCCATACTCCACGCAGTAAATAGGAACCCAGTGGTTAGTCGATTGACGGATCGCTTTTCCGGAAATAATAATTCCTTCAAAATAAATTTTTAAAAATTAAGAATTTGGTCACTCAATCCACTACTGTTCGTGTGCAATTGGCTGCTGCGTTCCACCCACAAAATATACAGTCAATTCACTTTATAGTATATTCTGTGAAGCGCTTTGAGACGCCTCGAAGGTGTGATAAGGCACTATATCAAATGCAAGGATTTTTATTATATATTTCTGGTTCTAAATCATCTACTGTGTATTTTAAAGAAGGATTCCAATAGGAGAGCTTTTCAAGAATGTAAAACTCATCGATTCTGTAGTGTATTGAACATTACATAATTCACTATTTTTTAATTTTTCAAAAATATTAACAAAGCAATATCTTTATTCAGTCTGTTGGAATTCATGACTCAGAATTTGGTACTGCAGTCTGTCAAAAATATATATATTAAAAAAAGTATATCAAAGAATTACAATACAAATTTACATTTATATAGCACTTTTCACATCGGGATGACATCCCTCGTTGCTTTACAATACTGACTTGGCACCAGTAATTGCAACTGATAACTGCTCAGTTCAACAATTGTCCACACAGAAAAGCAGCAGGACAGTCCCACCCTCCCAGTGGATAGGGACTCCATTACTCTAACTGTTGTTAAATTACTTTACAAGATATGACAATGCTGGAAATCTGGAATGTAGCTTGTTAACAAGAACAAATTACATTTGTATAGTGCCTTTCACGTCAGGAGGGTGTCCCAAGGCGCTGAACTTCGTAATTCTGTTCTTTAATACATCCACTGAATCTTATTGCAGACAACAAACACATTAACACTGATCTTTTGATACTGGAAATACAAAGTTTTCCTGAAAAGCAAGTACTGATTGAAGAACCTGACAGCTCTAACACCAACTTGACTGATGAATTGACAGGAGGGATACACCACCCAGTACTTACATAAAGGCTGCTTTTCAAAGCTTGTCGATCATCGTCAGAACCAATCAACTCTTCAAAGAGGAGGGATTCTGCGGGGGGAAAAAAAATAGCAGTTAAATTTTAAATTGCTACACTGTTCATAATTCTGAAGGAATGGGGTGCAATTTATAATAGTGGTAAGATTGAGAGAAGAAAATGAACTACAAACTTCTACATTTTTTTCTGTTTGAAAATATAACAAAATACAACATAGCATTCAGCTCTCTGCCAAATAGCAACTTGTGCTCTAGAGGTCACTTCTGCAAATGCACTCCATGCGTCAGTGGAAATTTTCTGACGTTAACCTGAAATGTTAACTCACTTTCGTCTCCCCATAAATGCTGCCTGACCTGCTGATTGTTCCTAGCAACTTCTGTTTTTATTAAAGAAGAGTACACAATGTAGACTAAGTTACTCTCGACATTTGGGAACAGAATGCACAAGAATTGTGTTTACAGCTCAGAAAGCTGTTCGGTTTGTCCTGTCTGTTTTCTCTAAATCTCAATCCCTGCCGATATGTGTAGAGCTCCACTGCATACAAATGCTGTATTTGTTTATGAAATGTCAGCAAGATATCACAGACGCCATATTATTCCAGTCGTTTTGGACGTTCTCCTAACATGAAAGACGCAATACAAGTGTAATTTGTTGTTGTTGTGCAGTTCAGTGCACCACAAAGACTTTTATACATTCATTTTCCACATTTCAGTAAACTCACTGTTTCAAAAGTTTGTTCAATAACTACATTTTAGACAGAGCTGGAGGGTAACTATACTTTGAAAATAAAGTACTCTTACTATTGCCCTTCCGAAATCCATCTAAATATAAACAATTGGAAATCTAGTTGAAAAGAGGCACACTGAAAGGACAACATGACCCAGTTACAATGCACTTTGTTAATACGTGGATTAGTTTACCGTGGTATACACAGGAAGGCGCACACTGGCACTGACTGGCCAGCTCGGTGTTCAATGTGGCATCCTGACAACAACAACAACTTGCATTTATATGGCATCCCTCACTCAGGGTTGAGTTCCAGTGCACTTGGACTCTACACGATGCATGCTCACGAGAGTGGTTGCCACCGACATCGCGCACAGGAAGGCAGCCAATCAGCCCTGGAAGTTGGACATGAATGACGTCCGCACAAACTGACAACCCAAAAGTGCTGAGTGGCTGCCATATTTTTAAACGCAATCTATTAATGCATCTGAATCTATGGACCCAGAGCACCACTTTATAATGTAATGTAATCATCTCACAGTTACAGCATTACAAGTGAATGTGGTTTACGTGCATAGAGTAGAAAATCACAGAGAGGCCTAGTCCTCTAGTGAATTCCCAAGTAGTGTGATCCTAAACACAGCCAAACCTTAACAGACCTATGAGCAAGAATATCTCAAGTGTCTGGGGAGAGCTTTTTACTTATGCACATTGTATGAGAAGGATATAATATTCCTTATATTTAATATTGTCTTGCACATCAGGAAGACATCTCAAAGCGCTTCACAGGATAGAATATTAAGTATGGCGACTGCTTTTTTTAGGCAAATGCAGCAGCCAATTAGCACACAGCAATGTCCTACAAACCATGAAGCAAATGACTAATTTTATTTGGAAGATTGTTGGCGAGGACTCTGGGAGAAACTCCTTCCTCTTTTCGAATAGTGCCTTCCTCTTTTCGAATAGTGCCATGGGAGTTTTAACATCCAGCTGAACAGGCAGACAGCACCTCGGTTTAATATCTCATCCGAAGGACAGTACCACTGACAATGAAGCACACAGCCAGCTCTGCACTGGAGTGTCAGCCCAGGCTTTAACCAAAAATCTTGTGAGTCAGAGGCAAGAGTACTACCAACTGAGTCAGGCTGACACCTGTTATCATCAGGAATGTATTAGCAGGAATGAGTGGCTTCCTTTATGAAAAGAGGATTGATGTTTGGGCTGTTTTCACTAATTCTGAGGTTCAGGTGTGACCCAGTAGAAGTTTTGAATGGCAATGGTTGGGTAAACAGCAATAGATTATTTCCACTGGTTGGTGAGTCAGTAACGGGAAGGTACTAAATTTATGATCGTCACAAAAGGAAATAAACAGGAAGGTGGATTTATTTTTAACATCAAGAATGATTGGAATGTGGCAGTCTTTCACAAACCTCGGCTAAAGCACACACACATTTAATTGCTTTTACTGACTGCACTTTCCCATCGGAGCCTGAATGGATAAGATAATATGCAAATAGTCAGTTTCTAGATCCACAGCGTTTTATTATACTTCTACACAAGGAATATTGAAGGTTACTGGAAGTGAGAAAGAGTGGGATTATATTAGGAAGCTCTTGTGGAGCAAAATGCCACCTGAATAGCCTGTTTCTATGCTGTAACATCCTATTTCAATGATATCTCAAGACATGAGAGCTCCTTTGTCTTTCAGTGTCACTATTAAAGCAACAGTGAGTCATCACTGGGCTGAGCCATCATTTCCAACATATTTGCATATAAAGACCTCCTGTGGGAAATGTTACACCAAGCTTTCAAGCTGATGACATCTTCTGGACTATCATGCAATGATTCAATTCCTGATATGTTGACTACAAATTAATGTTCCAACCTTTTTAAATTCATGAGTAGAGAACTCATTCTTATCCAGGTGTTAATGATCAATGTTTTAATATCACTGCTAGACTTCTAGCAACAATTATTTATTTACGTACAAAATGCACAGAATTGTTGGGCCAAATAGTCGGTTTCTGTGCTGTATGATTCTAGGTTATTCTATGCAATTTGGCTTTTGCATCTGGCCTATAAACAGTTACTACACTTTATAGTAATTCCTGTGAAGCGCTCTGAAATGTCCTTCTGACATGAAATGTGCTATATCAAATGCAAGGATTATTACCTCCAATCGGGTTTCTGTGCTGCCCACAGCATGGAAACTGCACTGGTCAAGGTCACAAACATCCTGACCATGTGTGACCAGGGCTCCCTCTGCCCCCTCATCCTCCTCGACCTCTCCACCCCTTTTGACACCATGGACCACTCAATCCTCCTCCACCACCTCTCCTCCCACCTCAACCTTCAAGGTTCTGTCCTTGACTGGTTCAGGTACTACCTTTCACACCGCCTCCACTTTGTCACGGCAAACGGCTTCTCCTCCAGCCCCCGCACTGTCTGGTGCGGTGTTCCTCAAGGCTCTGTCCTCGGTCCTCTCCTCTTCACTCACTACATGCTCCCCTTGGTGATGTCATCCGCAGACATAGGGTAAATTTCCACATGTATGTGGATGACACGCAACTCTACCTCTCTGCTTCCACCCTGAACTCCAGGACTACTGGCGTCCTGACCAACATCAAATCCTGGACGAGGGCCAACTTTCTCCAACTCAACGTCAGCAAGACCGAGGCCTTCTGGATTGGCTCGCGCCAGCGCCTCCGCACCTCAGGCGCTGGCAGCAGCAGCCTCCACGGCTGCACACTTAACCTCACTATCCAGTCAGGAACCTGGGTATCTTGCTTGACCCTGAACTGTCCTTTCTCCCCCACATCCGTGCCATGACCAGCACTGCCTACCACCACCTCTGCAATATTGCCAGACTCCGCCACTGCCTCACCCCTCAGGCTGCCGAAACCCTCAACCACGCATTCGTCACCTCAAGGCTTGATTACGGGAACTCCCTCCTCATCGGCCTTCCCAACTCTTCCCTTCACAAGCTGCAGATCATCCAAAACTCTGCAGCTCGTGTACTCTCACATACCAGGCTCCGTGACCCCATCACTCCCACCCTCGCCCGACTCCACTGGCTCCCCATCCCCCAGAGGATTGAGTTCAAGATCCTCATCCTCACCTTTAAGGCCCTCCTACCTGCCTCCCACATAAAAACAACAATAAATTGTTCATTTCAATCCACAACTGTTTGTGGGACACTGCTGTGTGCAATTGGCTGCCGCATTTTGCCCACAAATATACAGTCAATTCACATTACAGCTAATTCTGTGAAGCACTTTGAGACGTCTAGAAGATGTGAAAAGCGCTATATCAAATGCAAGGATTATTATTATTATTATTATTATCTCTCTGACCTGCTGACTCCCTACCAACGTGCCCGCACCCTCCGTTCATCGGGCCCCGGCCTGCTCCATGTCTCCCGCCCGACCCGTCCTAACACCGGTGGCCGGGCTTTCAGCCTCTCTGCCCCCACACTCTGGAACTCCATCCCACGGTCCCTTCGCCTCGCTTCCTCCCTTGCCTCCTTCAAGGCCGGTCTCAAGACCCTTCTCTTCAACCGTGCCTTTGGTCTCCGTCCCACCTCTCTGCCTTCCCTCACCCCTACACCACCCCTCCCCCATCCCGACACATGACTGTTCAGCGCTTTGGGACATCCGCCCGACGTGAAAGGCGCTCTATAAATGCAATTTGGTTATTATTATTATTTACCTCAACCCATCGTTGTTGCCCTCTAAAACACTCCGAGATGTTAACCTGTATTAATAATAATCCTTGCATTTGATATAGTGCCTCATCACATTGTTAAGATATCTAAAAGCGCTTCACAAAATATACTGTAAAGCGAATTGACTGTACATTTTGTGGTGAAACACGGCAGCCAATTGTGCACAGCAGTGCCCCAAAGCAGTCGTGGATTGAGTGACCAAATTATTTTATTTCATTTTTTAGGGCATTATTATTTTTAAGGGAATCATTACCGCCCGAAAGCAATCCGCTGGTCGACTTAACGACCGGGTTCCTGCTCACCGCTACGTGGAGTAAAGAAACTTGCCCAAAGTTTGGCACCCTACGTGGGATTGGAACCCGGGTCCTCTCGCTTTTGCGAGGCGAGCGCTCTAACCAATATGCCGCGGGACCCTCCCCCACAGTTCAGGGCATTATAAATGCAAATTGTAGTACCAGGGTCATACACGGAAAAACAACAGTCTCACTCTGCCTCGCAGTGAGGGGCGAGAGGAGCCAATGTTAGCCATGTGATACAAACTGCTGAGTGAGGGAGGGAGTGAGGAGGAAGGGAGTGAGTGAGTGAAGGAGGAAGGGAGTGAGTGAAGGAGGGGAGTGAGGGAGGGAGTAAGGGAGTGAGTGAAGGAGGGGAGTGAGGGAGGGAGTAAGGGAGTGAGTGAGTGAGGAGGAAGGGAGTGAGTGAGTGAAGGAGGGAGTGAGGGGGTAAGGGAGGGAGGGAGGGGGTAAGGGAGGGAGGGAATGGGAGTGAGGGAGGGGGTAAGGGAGGGAGGGGGGGAGGGAGGGAGTGAGTGAAGGAGGGAGGGAGTGAGGGAGGGGTAAGGGAGGGAGGGAGGGGGTAGGGAGGAGGAGTGAGTGAGAGGAGGGGGAGGGAGTGTGTGAGGGAGGAAGGGAGTGAGGGAGGAGGAGGGAGGGAGGGGGAGGAGGAGGAGGGAGGGAGGGAGGAGGAGGAGGGAGGGAAGAGGAAGGGAGTGAGTGAGTGAGTGGGAGGAGGAAGGGAGGGAGGGAGTGAGGAAGGGGGAGGAAGTGAGGGGGAGTGAGTGAGTGAGTGAGTGAGTGGTGTCCTGTCAGTGTAGTTGACTGGTGCCCGTGGAAGAAGCTGGAAAGTTCTAGAGGCCGCAGATCCCCGAGCGCTCAGCCCGAGCCGCCGCCGCCGCCGCCGCCTACCCCAGTCCTCGTCCTCCCGACTCCATCTCACCGCCGCCGCCGCCGCCGCCAGACCTCCGGGCTCGAGGCTCAGCGCCATGGCCCGCGCGGCCCCGGCACTGCCTCTCTCTCTCTCTCTCTCACTCCCGGTGTCAGTGCCTCTCTCACTCCCGGTGTCAGTGCCTCTCACTCCCGGTGTCAGTGCCTCTCTCACTCCCGGTGTCAGTGCCTCTCCCACTCCCGGTGTCAGTGCCTCTCCCACTCCCGGTGTCAGTGCCTCTCTCACTCCCGGTGTCAGTGCCTCTCTCACTCCCGGTGTCAGTGCCTCTCCCACTCCCGGTGTCAGTGCCTCTCCCACTCCCGGTGTCAGTGCCTCTCCCACTCCCGGTGTCAGTGCCTCTCTCACTCCCGGTGTCAGTGCCTCTCTCACTCCCGGTGTCAGTGCCTCTCTCACTCCCGGTGTCAGTGCCTCTCTCACTCCCGGTGTCAGTGCCTCTCTCACTCCCGGTGTCAGTGTCTCGAGCACCACGTCTCCTCTCAGGACAATATGGCGGGGGGAGGGGGAGGGGCTGTTTATCCCAACACCGCGCACGCGCACCAGCGCACTTCCCGGGGGCGGGGCTTCACGCGCGTCTGTTTATTAACACATTCACCGCCATCATCATCTCAACTCACCTTCATCATCATCATCTCAACTCACCTTCACCTTCATCATCATCTCAACTCACCATCATCATCATCACCTCAACTCACCTTCATCATCATCTCATTCACCCCCATCATCATCTCAACTCACCTTCATCATCATCACCTCAACTCACCCCCATCTTCATCATCATCTCAACTCACCCCATCATCATCTCAATTCACCATCTTCATCATCAACTCAACTCACCCTCATCATCATCCCCATCATCATCATCTCAACTCACCCTCATCATCTCAACTCATCCCCATCATCATCTCAACTCATCCTCATCATCATCTCAACTCACCCCCATCATCATCATGACTCACCTCCATCATCATCTCAACTCACCCCCATCGTCATCTCAACTCACCCCCATCATCATCATCATCTCAACTTGCCCCCATCATTATGATCATCTCAACTCACCCCCATCATTAACTCAGCTCACCCTCATCATCATCATCATCATCATCCCAATTCACCCCTAATTCAAACTCACCCATCATCATCTCAACTCACCCCTAACTCAAACTCATCCCATCTCTCACCCCAACTCATCGCACATCCCAACTCAAACTCAGCCCAAACCCCCAATTTCAATTCATCTCAACTCAATCTTATCCTAATTGTTATCATCTATGAAACTTCCTATGTTTACAATATTGAAAGTTTACAGCAGAGGCCATTCAGTCACAATAATAATACTTGCATTTGATTTAGAGCTTTTCCAAACTGTTCACAAGATTTACTGTTACATGTAGTGGCTGTATTATGTAAGCAAAGTCAGAGGTTGTACTGCTCCCCCATAAATCTACTCGAATTCCACGCACCTGCTCTTTCCCTATACGTTTCATTATCAAGCATTTGTCCGATTCTCTTTTATATGCTGTTTTAGACTTAACTGCGGCAACTATTTATAATGAAGCTTGACACATTTTAATATATATAAAGTATATTAAAAAAAATTCAATGTCTCCATAATAATAATCCTTGCATTTGATATAGCGCTTTTCACGTCAGGAGGACGTCCCAAAGCGCTTCACAGAACACACTGTAAAGTGAATTGACTGTATGTTTGTGGGCGAACGCGGCAGCCAATTGCGCACAGCAGTGTCCCACAGTCGTGGATTGAAAATGACCAATTTATTATTGTTTGGTTTTGGAGGGATTATTTTCTTTGATGTAAACTTCAGTGTTAGCCTAGTTCAGTTGGTAGCATTCTCACTTCAGAGATACAACATTTTCAGTTCAAGCCTTACGTGGGGACTTTAAACTTGCAGTCCAGGATGATCCTTACAATTCTGTGGGTGTGAAACAACACTGGACATGCTGTCCTTTGGTTGAAACATTAAATGGGTGTTTAGGTAGACATTAAAAAGATCCAATGACACTATTTCAAAGGAGAAAGGATGTCTTGGTCAACAATCCCCCAGATAAAATTGGTCGTTTACTTCATGGGTGTTTGTGGGATGTTGTTGCTGTGTGGAAACTGGCTGCCTGTTTTGCCTACAAATACACAATCACTACATTTTACAGTCAAAATCCTGTGAAGCACTTTGAGAGATCTCAATGATATACCAAGGTGCTATATTAAATACAAGGATTTGGTTACTGACTGGAGGGAGTCGACTCGTGTGCAGAATTTTGCTTAATTTTCCGTTTCGGGCCTGGTCTGGCTCGATACGAATTCCGGATACCTGAAGTCCATCCAGTAAGTTGGGGTTGAACTGTATATTTTTTTCTGAAGTTATCTGACACGAATAGATACATTTGGCACAGCTCCTTTCATATTGGGATAACATATCAAGGCAGGATTATACTGTAAAATGTAAGGACAAGATTTTGTAGACAAAACCACTAGTGATTTTGCAAACCTATTACAATTTACTCCTTAAACCTGAACTGTCCCAATGTCTCTACGTAACTAATCACTCATACACGGAATCAATATAACTATCCTTGCATGTGATTTAGGATCTTAATTACGTCGAGACATTTCAAAGCAGTTCACGGGAGTTGTGACTGCATATTTGTAGGCACACAAGCTAAACTCTTTAAAGGACTGTGATGCAAAGCTTCCCACTCCCGGAACCACACACAACAATGTAGATTTTAAACATCTGTTTTTATGTTACATTTGATACTTCATGTACAAATTGTGATCTTCAGAAAAAATAATTCTCTGCAGGAATCTATTTGAAACTACTTTTCTCATGAAACGTTGTGTAAAAAAATTAAAAAATAGATCTCTATCTACTCGTACATTGCTTTGATTTCAATATTTTGTCTAAGAATAATAAGCATTTTTAGTACATATACATTTAAAACACAGCAAAAAATATATGATTTTTGCCAAAGATCCATTCTGTCGTACAAAGTTAGAACTTATTTACAAGGATTCATGGGCACACACCATCGGTCTGTTGCTTTTTCTGTAGTTATGTTCGTGTGTTACCATATGAAAGTATGATGACGTGATTGTCTGTATGACCTTTTGCAACACATGTTTTAATTTCTGGTTGTTGATTTGGGTTGGGTGGTTGGGATCAGATGGTTAATTGGTTGGGGGAAAGGGGTGTTGGTTGGTTGTGTTGTCAGATGGATGTTGAGGGAGAGGCAGACGGTTGGGGAAAACAATGAACAAAGAGTCACAATTTACATAATGTCATAGAGGGAAACGTGTTCGTAATAATTATCGTTTCAGCAAACTGAGCATTAACAAAGCCGTCTGTCTGTGTGTCTGTCTGTATATAAAAGTAGGTAGACCTTCTCTCAGTGGTGGAATAGCATCTGTGGGATGGGAAGGGAGAGGAAAACAGCATTTTTCTAGCCTTTGGCTAGTCGTCCATTTGGCTATTAAAAAGTTAAGACGTTGCAGCGAGATTGGTTTGCGACAGAAACTTAATACAAGCAACCTGTCGTGCTCCACATTGGGCCTTGTTTGGGGGGCGGGGGGAGGAGAGAGGAGGGAGGATCAACAAGTCAAAAATGGAAACATCAAGTCTAACTTCCCATGCGATTGTTTCAAATTGGTTTTAAAACACCCCAAAAAAAAGTGTCACCAACTTATTTGAAATCATGCCACCCGATCACAGGATTAACAGAAAAAGATATATTTCACGTAAAATTACGCGCTTTCCATTCCTCACTTTCTTCCACATTGTGACTTTTTTTGTACAAGAATATATTTAGTATGTAAATCTCTGCAGTTGGGTTGTGAAGAAAAAATCCTTTGCTCCCATGTTGGTTCTGCGTTGTGTCTTTCAGCCCAGCTGTGAGAATCGCAGATTATTCCAAGCAGTTAGTTAACCTGAAGAATAGATCTGTCAGGGACTATAACAGTAATAGATTTAGAGAATAGCACCAATGAGAAATCTTCTCTTCCTCTGTCCTCTGACCCAAACCCCAACCACCAATTCCCCTTCCCATTGGATGAAATTTTAAGTGTTAAGATACAGACTACATTCTTCATTCTACATTCAGATCAGAACGACAAACAACCCTCTCTGATACTGACTCCGAGCGGACGAGAAAATTAACAAGGAAAACAAAATTAAAAGCCAAATACCCTTGACGGGCTACTGATTCCCCACCCCCCGCTCCTCCCCCACCACACTCATATGTGCATATGTCTTACAAGTTTTAGCGAACAGCTCTGCCAATTCCCATCACAAGCCCAAGTGACCTAAACCAAATGTACCGGATGGGTGATTAGTTGAATGATGTTAGGAGTGTGGGGAGGGGTCTGACAAAATGTTACACAATCTTGAGAACGCTCCAATTCTCAGGAGTCCCAGACTCGCAGAAGAACCCCATTGCAGCACTGATATACCCGATATACAATCACACTCATTACAGCACTGAGCTCTGAAAGGTTATTACTGTACCTGGCCTGCTTCAGTCAATTGAACAGAACCAGCCACTTGTCCCATTGAACATACACGAGACTGTAGCGTATCCTTGAGGCTGATTTAAAGCTGACCTTGTTTTTTTGACTCCTCCCAAACTCAAACTTTTTAAATGCACTTGTTAAATTTTAACCTCCTCTGAGAACAATAACCTGGGTGTTTGGTTAAAAAATCATGGGACAGGGGGCAGCAACTTGTACTCCAAATTCAATCTCACAGTTGGGCTTGAACACACACTTCGCTACCTGTCAATGAATGTAAAATAAAATCACTTGTTCATTGGTTTTGTCTCTTTTCTAACTCCGACCCCCACCAACCAATTCCCTTTCCCATTGGATGCGATTTTAAGTGTTAAGATACGGACTCCATTTGAATAGATTATTTTACAAACATTTCACAGAAATTTCAAGAGGCATTAAAAAAAATCAATCCAAATGTCTCCAATTATCACAATAATGCACAACTTGTGGAGAGGGTAGACAGAAAGTGACAAGCAATTTAAAATCAAGGCTACCACATTGCAACAATAAGCATAGACTAAGAATTTGCTATGAGCCGTACATACAAGTCCCCAAACACAGAATTCTACCCAAAATCGCAATGCTAGCAAAATAATCTAAGTACCTGTAAATTTTACAGGTAAAATCTTCAAAGTGTTTCATAAGGTACAGTGAATAGTCACAATCCCAAAGATCTCTAATCTAGCTGGGATTTCCGATTTAACACTGTATATCTTCATTTTGGCTTCATAAAGTACAATATTTTAATAAAAAATATAAGTTTCATGGAAGGGAAGAAAACAAACTTCATTTAGTTTGGATGCAGAAATTGGCAAGATTTAGTGCCCTTCATGTGGGAAAATGGTTCTTGCTAAGTGCAATTGACTTAATTTGAATCAATAGGAAAAGCATCGAAAGCCTCAACTTCCCTGGCAAGAGTGACATTGAGTGTTGGTAGCATTCGAGGAAGTCACGCCAATTGCCCCTCACTCCCACCCTCTGACTCCCTAATCAGACCTTTACCCAACCTCTAAGCTTGAGCGAGATGTGTGGGGCGAGACAGCATGTGAACAAGTTACTTTAATTTTAACACAATTAAAGTAACGGTAACCAAAGTTTGTTTCGCTGAAACCTCTACATTCCAGGAATCAGCCTGACTGTGAAGCTCCTTCATTTAAGCATTTACTTCATTGCAAACTCCAACTGTGGGTGTGAGTCAATAACTGTGGGAAAGGGTTGGAGGGGCAAAGAAGGGGGGTGTTTGTGATGTAACTTCCAACATGAAAGGAAAGAACTCCAGGCAGACAGCTCCTCTTGTTTGTGTGTGCGATGTTGATGTGAGGTTATTAAGGCTTTAGGCAAGCAATACTTGCCCTTAGGTTCTCTTCTATACCGAACAACACAGCACGGGACTTGTACAAATAACTAGAGCTTTCTTTTCCCCCTATCAAATTATCTCTCCCACTTCCCCTTCTCTCCTCTCCCAGGAAAGTGTCTTTGTTTCACTCTGCTTTCTCAATGACATGCTGGACACTGAAGGTCAGAGGAATAGAAAGATCAAGCTAAAAAATCATTTGTCTCATTTTCCTTCAAATATCTGGATTAATTAAATTTAGTGGCTGACCGAGAGGCAAGGGAACTTGCGCTTCAGGTCAGAGGAACCAACAAAAGTCCGAACTTGGTTCTGTATCATCAGGAAAGAATTTTGTTTCCCCCAAAGATAAAAAAAAAATGAAAGTTAAGACAAACTTCAATTTTCCCACCAACATAACACATCAACTGACACGTGTGGGACATCAAACAAAGTACATACAGTACCTGATTTACAGTCGTGAGCCAGGGAATGTTTTGTACCACAGAAGGAATGGGTGGCAAGGATTTTTTTTACAAAAACAAGAGAAAAAAAGTGTAAAGCAGTTGGAAATAGAGGGCTTTCGTTGGGAATACGAGCTATGGAAATTAGTCTTCTATTCCCTCTTTCCCAATCCCCACTCCGATACATGGTTCCTTCAACCATATAAGTTACAACTGTTCATTAAAAAGTAAACTGTGATTTTACTCCCGTGTTTCATTGCATCTCCTCCTCCTTCACCAAAGGCAATGCTGGCTATTACCCCCTGCTCTGAATTGGGTTTGGGCTGAAGTCAGGAGTCAGATGTGGAGCATATCAAAGTGAAATAAACCTGGAAGGCACCTTAACTAGGAGGGTGTACAGTTTTCTTTTAAAACAGAGAGAAAAAGAACCTAAGCTCACAGTACAATGATGTTCTAAGGAATTAAAATATGCCAACATAAATATGGAAGAGGGCAGTGATACTAGTGATTAGAATAAATAAGAAAGTCTTCAATACACGCTGAAGTCACGTTCCTCTGCCAGTCTCTGAATTTAGAAGAGTTGATCTTTCTTAAGACTGTTGAGTGCTTTCTAGGCGACCCTTTTCTGAGTACGGGCACGTCTGCTGGGCAGAGGTGCCACAGTGCTCCTTTCCTGTCTTCACTTCAGCTTTCCACATAAAGTCTTGCTGGAGCCCAGGGCTGGCTCTTAAGAGGCAAACACCTGCACGCTCCCCCTCTGTTGCTCTGGAATGTGGGAAACCTGAGGCCGCTGGCCAAGGGGCGCCGGGCTGGGCGTGATGTCAGACCAATCGGACGTGGAATGTGGGGAGGAGCTGGACCACTGATCCGGGGACTCTGGCGAGGGCGTCAGATACGGGTGCTCGCTCTGCAGGTGGATGTGATGGTTCGGGGTGTTGTCGGTGGTCATGGACACATAGCTATGCTGCGATGGTGGGGTCGGGAACTTATCCATCTGCACTGAGGTGGGCAGCTTGTGGTAGGGTGGCAGGACGGTCTGGGACCCCTGCCCCTCCTGGGCGGGCATCATCACGTTGTTCAGTTGGCCGTTGGGTATCTGATGCATGGGATTCCCCGGTGCCGGGGTCATCGAGCCGCAGTAGGGCTGGGCTTGTTGCTGGGCAGCTTGACTGCTCTGCGCTTGGTGCTGCTGCATCAATGGCTGCGTCAAGCCTCCGTTCATCGGCTGGTAGGTCACAAGCTGTGGGAAGGCATCCCTGATCATGGCCATGTGGACCGGAGCCATGTTAGGATGGAGTACTGGGTTCTGCTGGTGGACATTGGGGTAGGAGCCGGACACCTGGTGGAGGATGCCCAACATTGGGCTGTACTGAGAAGTGGAAATGCCCATCTGGTTCATCCACTCGATGTTCATCTGCCCGACTCTCCCCAGGGTTGGCCCCAGGTTGTTGGCATGGCTGCTCATGGCAGGATGGGAAACAGAGGGTGGGACCTGACCCACGGAGGAGGAAAGCACAGAGTTGGAGCCCATGGGCAGGCACTTCATCTCATTCAGGCTGGAGAGAGACATCGCCAACTGGCTCTGCAGCGAAGGGGTGGGATGAAGAGGCGCGGATGCCAAACCCCCGGAAGATGTCAGCAGAGTCGGCGAGGTGGTGTCCGACACGTACGTGTGCGGGGATTCCAGGGATTCGACAGGTGACAGAGCCACGGAGCTCTCCACCAGTGGCCCTTTCCCATCACCGATGGACTTTTTCCTCCGCCGGGCCTTGGTTTCCTTGGCATTGCCCTGAGCGGGTGTCTTGGAACTTGCCCGTCTGGCTTTCTTGCCCTGAGGAGTCTGCTTCATGTTGGCAAAGGAGACGCCGGGCGGACAGTTGGCGGGGGAGAGTGCGGTGCCCATGGGGCCCTGCTGTGGGCTCCTGATCAAGTTGTACTGGTCCAGCAGGTGGACAATGTCGTGGTGCATCCGCTCCTGGGCGATGTCTCGGGGCAAGCGGTCCATGTGGTCTGTGATGTCCCGGTTGGAAAAGTGATCCAGCAGGATTTTGGCGGCTTCGTAGCTCCCCTCTCGAGCGGCCAGGAACAAGGGGGTCTCCTCCTGCACGTGTGTGTGCGTGTGTGGGGGGGGGGGTGGGGGGGGAGAGCACACACCAAACCAATAGGTTAGACAGAACTACAATAAAATACAATTTTTATAATAAAACTCACATAAATCATATCAGCTGAGACCATAACATTTAACATGACTTATGCAAAGTCCGAGTTGCAAGCTTGGATTGTAGTCGATTTTTGCGTTAACGTGATTTCCGATACCCCAACAACGACGCAACAAATGACATTCACGGAGCCCCTTTCACATTGGGAGGACATACGAACGAAGGCATTTGACAGTCAAGAATTTGGACCTGAGCTGAGGGTTGGGATCAGAAGGTTGCAGGTCAGGGAGGGTGGGGGGTAGGAGAGTGACTGAAGGTGTGATCGAAGAGGAAGGTCTTGAGACAGACCTTGAAGGAGGCAAGGGAGGGGCAAGGTGAAGGAGCTGTGAGATGGAGTTCCAGAGGGTGGGGGCAGAATGACTGAAACCGCCAATGGTGAAATCAAAAAACCCCAACACCCAGCACCAGTCGCTTCTTTCGGGACAGGAGAGGGTGAAGTACAAACAGCAGCGCAGTCTGTACCTTGTTATCCTGCATGTCCTTGTTGGCTCCATTCTTCAAGAGTACACGAGTAGCATCAACATTGTTAACGGCAGCTGCCCAGTGCAGCGCAGATTTACCTGAGTACAGATAGCACAGTGCAGAGGTGTAACTGAATGTCCCTCGCACACAGCTCCTGAATCCACAGCCCTTGCCACTCCCCGCCCTCTACACCCACCCTCGCTACCCCCACACCCTCCCTCGCCCCACCCTCCCTTCCATGCACCAGCCCTGACCTCCCTCCCCACTCTGCTCCTGTCCTGCTCCCACTCCCTGCTCCCAATCACAACCCTCTTTACCATGATCATCGATGGCATTAACATCTGCGTGACAGTGAATGAGCTCCACCACCATCCCCTCCACTGCCAGCCGGGCGGCCAGGATCAGAGGCGTTGTGCCATCGTTCATCCGACAATCCAGGTCTGTAGCTCGGTTCCTGATCAGGATCTGCAGAGATCAGGTTACAAGAGTGTCAGTTACTACACTGTAATCTGTTCACTTTCAGTCAGTGACCTTCCGCCACTACTCCTTCCTTCACTATGCCAGCTCACACAGGTCCGTGAGCTGGGGAGGGGCAATTTGTTCTGACTGAAAATTGAAGCCCCATGTCCCCTCCCCCTCGGTGACACTGACAGTCACCACTGCTCTTCCTGCCAAGTCTTTCTTACTCAGAACTTGATTACCCACCTGGTGGGGTGGTGGTGGGGGGTGGAGAATGTAAGATGAACTGGATCCAAGGTGACGTGTTTGGCAACAGAATCGTTCTGTACCAGTCTCTAGTCTGGTTCCTGAGCCAGGCGGGTCCACAGTATTGCAGGGCACTGCTGATGACAGCACAGTCCAGCCCGGCTCATGGGCAGAACCTGGAAGGGCAGACTAGTCACTGGGAGCAGGGATTCCTCCCACTCAGCTCCTGTTAATCCTGCAAGCCAAAGCCCTAAAGGGTGGAGTGGTCCCAGCCGGAGAAGCAGCAGGAAAGCTTGCCAGACATCGCTATCAATGGGAAGTTATGCTGGTTAAGACTCCAGCAGTTACCTAACTCTGGGGGTCCCCTCGCCTTGGGTGTAGCGGTGGGATGCATGGAATTCTCAGTTTGGTTGGGATACTCTTAAGCAAGGTGACAGGTTCCTGCATCTGTCAGAAACCACTCGGAAATTCCAAGGAGTTAGTTTCTCAGTATCAGATGACTTGGTTCCAGAAGATAATCCCAATTTTGGTCCTGCTATTTGTGGGCCCCTCCCCACCCTCACAGCCCCTCACTAATCCACAGCCACCCCCCCACCACGCTCCCGCCCGCCCCCCACCCCCCCCACCACCAACAGTAACTCCCTCCCCTCTCAGTACCTGGAACACTCCCTGAGCGTCGGCTGCCACAGCCGCGTGGAGAGGCGAGCGGCCCATGTTGTCCTGGGCGTTGGCATCAGCGGACGCATCCAGGAGGCGTTTGGCGGCATCGGCGCGGGCGTAGCGGGCAGCCAAGTGTAGCGGGGTCTCCCCGGTTCGGTCGGTCTGCGCGAGCAGGTTGGCGCCCTGGTAGATGAGGTCCGTGATCACGTTGGCCGACGAATCCTCCAGGTCTTCATCCTCCTCGAGGCCGGTGTCCACGCCCCCGCCTCGCAGCGAGGCCAGCATCAGGGGAGTAAAACCATCTGAGGGCAAGAGGTAGCAACAGGTGCGTCAGCCTGTGAAAGCTAAGCAACAATCTTACTCAACTATTGAGGGATGGCCTATTATCTTCCTCTCCCCACCGCGCCAGCCGGTCCATAGCGGCCCGAGAAAAATTGACCTCCAGGTATAAATATGAAACAGGGGCTAAAAGTTGCCCGAAACTAGATTTATGGTGGGTTTCTCTATTGTTGCAATGATTGTTGCATTTGGTATCGTGTCTGAGCACTTGATCAAAACATCGCAACGCGTTTCACAGGAGTTCCACCATAGGAATTACTGTGAAGTGTAGTGACTGTATTAGTGCACTTGTGAATTTATCACCAAAGTAAGTCTATTTATGTTTTAAACAAATTCACAGATGACAAGGGGAACTGGTGTTTATATGGTAATCTGGTGCCATCCAGTGGTATAATACTGCTACAATTCACACAGGTAGGAAAACCTGCCACCTTGTGGCCGAAAACTCTTACCGCAAGAACAATTTGAAATTTAAACAATTTAACATTTACTTCCGCAGCCCCCAGCGCTGCCAAGCTGGTGCTGCACGCAGGAGTTTCATTGGCGATTAGGTCTTTCAAAAAGAAAATCGAAGTCCCTTCTGTCTTTGCCCCTTTCACAAAACAGACACTGAGACACAGAGGGCAGAAACTCATTCAGTGATTCAGAAAGTTTGTTCGCAAGACTGTGTTCTAAACTTCGAACCGACTCCTCCGCCTGCTCCCTCTGCTCAGTAAACTTGGGCTTGCAGAGCTAACCCCTGCCCTCTCTGCACCAACACTGGGTTCAAGCCCCATGTCGGAACGTGGAGTCTAGTGACTGAGCATTCAGTTCCTAAACCTCTTTATCTCGAGAACTCTCTCCCTCTTTCACACTGTCTCTGTGTCTTTAACTCCTTCCTTAAATCCTGACCTCGCCCCCACAATCATCTTCCCCTTACTCAGTGTACAATTCCATTTCTGTAAAGCGCTTTGAGACATTATCCTGCATGACGGGCACAGCATAAATTAAATTTGTTCCTAATTTCCGATCATTAAAATCCACATAAGTTACTTAATAATAATCCTTGATTTGATATCACATTGTCGAGACATCTCAAAGTGCTTCACAGAATACATTGAGGAGTGAGGTGACTGTGTATTTTGTGGGTGAAGAGCGGCAGCCAATTCCTCACAGCAGTATCCCACAAACAGTTGGATATTGAATGACCAAATTTATTTGAGGGGGGGGGGAACTATTACCTCCGGAAAGTGATCCCCAATCGACTAACTCCCTACTTGCTACTTACCTCTAGGTAAACAGAGGCACGTGGAGTAAGGAAACTTGCCTACGGTTTCTCCCCACCCAGGAATTGAACCCGGGTCCTCTCGCTTCAGAGGCTTGTGAACGCGCTAACCACTACACCACTTAAATTGAAAGGGTTGTTGCAAACCGAGGTCCTGAAATGTATAAATAACTCCCCCACAGAAGTGAGCACTGGCTGACCTGGGCCTCTCACGTTGACGTCCAAACAGTCGGTCTCCTGCTCGCCTTGTGGAGGGGTCAGAGCCAGCGAGGGGGAAACTCGGATGTCTGCGGCTTCTAAGTGTTGCTGGGTCCACTTCCGATGGTCAACTGGATCCTCGTTCTCCGAGAGCAGCGCCTGGTCCTCAGTCTGTGACCAACAGGGAGAGAGTCAATCAACCATTAAACCAAGGTCCCACCTGCCTGTCCTGGTGGACGTTAAAGATGCCATTATTACTGCAGGCTACCTCTCCACGTCTCTCTGAAAGCCCTCAGCTAATTTCTCCTCCTGTTGATGAGCTACGTGTGCTCCAGATTCGTATTCCTCTCTGCAAAATTCCCGATTCTCGGGACTCTCTCCTCCCGCCCTCAAGACAGGTCACCCGATCACATGCATCACTGGTGACTGAACGAGGAGTTGCAGACAGACCCACCTTGGGTTTCTTGGCCTCTGGTCCTTCCCCCTCCAGCCACTGCTCATTCTGATTGTCGTCCACCATACTGTCCTCCGCCTCCTGCTTCGACAGATTCCTAGAGAGAGAAGTGGAAACAGTGACTCCCGACACTCTCTCGTTTCCAGTCCTCCCAGTGGAATGTTTCCTCATGGTAAACAGGCCTGGGGGTGGGGGGCAGCGTGTGTGGAGGGAGCTCCACACACACTTCAGCTGGGGCCACTGTTGCTGTGCATGTGAGGATGACGCCAATGATCGTGTCACAGATCTTCTAACTTGAATTTCAAAAATAATAATCCTTGCATTTGATATAACGTCGAGCGAGACATCTCAAAGTGCTTCGCAGAATATACTGTAAAGTCTATTTTATGGGCAAAATGCGGCAGACAGTTTGTGTACAGGAGAGTCCCACAAACAGCTATGAGTGAGTGATCAATTTTATTTGGGGGACTGTTGGCCAGGATACCTGGAGAGAGAAACTCCCTTCCCTTTTTGACATGTAGCTTGAACCAACCATTTTCTGACTCAAGAGGCGAAAGAGCTACCACTGCGCCAGGCTCAGATACATTTTGGTCTTAGTGACCTGGGGGTGGGGAACTGAAACACTCACCCATTGGGAGGAGAGGAGGGGCAGGTGCGGTAGGCAACACTTTAAACGCATAGTCAAACCACACAGAAAACCCTTGCAATACTGTTTACTTAGCGGGTGGGGGAGATGTCTGCTCTGGTCTCAACCCAACCAAACCGGGAAACATCCCTTTCAATCACGAGAACCATTAGCAGTGACCATTCACTTCGGCTGTTCCCCAAGCCGACTCCGAACATAGAATGTTCAGGCCCAGAGTTTCAGTTTCCCTGTTGACACCTACTTCATGCCCACCGCGTCCTGTCCCACAGGCTCTCGCCGCTTGCGCTTGCTCTCCTTGTTGAGGATGAAGCCCTCCGGGAACCACAGGGGCCCGAGCTTGCGCTTGCGCTTGGCTACCACCACGCCCAGCATGATGATCAGGATGATGATGGCCACGGCCACCATCAGCAGGTAGAGGAGGCTCATCTGTCCCGCCTTCTCCAGTACCTCACCTGTGGGGGAAACAACTCTGCTCAGTGTCACTGTCAGCACGGCGGTCAGGATCAACACTCAACAGGTTCACACTCACACAGTGTTGAGCACTGTTCAACCACAGCTCTGGGATCTACACGTGTCCTCTATACATCTCATAAAAATCTTTGCATTTGATATAGCACCTTATCAAGTCGTTGAGACGTCTTAAAGAGCTTCACAGAATACACTGCAAAGTGGATCGACTGTATATGTTGTGGGCGAAACCCATTGTGCACAGCAGTGTCCCACAAACAGTCGTGGATTGAGTGACCAAATTATTATATGGGGGGTGGGGGGGGAGAAGAATTATTACCCCGCCTTCTCCAGCCCCTTGCAATAGTGAAAAAGTGATCACTGGAAAAGTGATCTGCCAATCAACTACTAACAACTGGGTTCTTACTTATGGCTGGGTAAACAGAGGCGTGTGGAGTAAAGAAACTTACCTAAGGTTTCGCCCTGCCTGAATCCTCTTATTTGTGAGGCGAGTGCTCTAATTACCACGCTAACAGGACTCAGCAGCTGATCTAACATGTCGAACCCAGATTAGTACTGAGCAACATACACGGCTCATGGACAACAGTGTGAGCCACCCCAGTCTTGCCAGGATCCAGGAAACATTGCGCCTGGCCAGAATTATGAGTTCTGATGCAGACAGAAACTTATTCAGCCCTCGTTGCTGCGAATCGAACATGTTACTGCAGACACAACCATCAGGACAATCACGGGCTGAGGTTTGCTCTGCGGGAAGACCTCTATTTGAGGTGAGGGGCTGAGACATGTGCTCACTTACTTTTGACAGAGGAGATGGGGTATGGCAAGTCGCCCTTACGGCCCAGAGCAGCAATGAACGCTGCGGCATTGTCGGTGGATAAGAAACAGTCCTGGGACGTCTGGAAACACTGGCGATTGTCGATCTCCAGGTGCACTTCAGAGCTGCAACAACAACAACAACTTGTATTTATATAGCGTCCCTCATGCAGGGTAGCGTTCCAGCTGCAGAGAGGGGAAGAGACGGTGAGTAGACCGGTCTCCTGGGAGCAGAGCGGCGTCATCATAGGGCAAGACACAACCCACCGAGCGCCCACTGACTTATCAGAATAACAACACAACAATGACCTGCATTTATACAGCGCCTTCCATGTCAGGCGAATGTCCCAAGACACTGGAAAATGAGGGGCTGGTTTACACCCGAGCTGTGGGTTAGGGTCAGAGAGGGGTGGAGGGCAGGGAGGGTGATGGAGGGAAGATGACCAAAGGCGCGGACAAAAAGAAAGGTCTTGAGAGGTCCGGGGTGGGGCGAGGATTAGATCAAAGAGTGCCCAAGTGTGATCTGCTTGAGTGCCCCTCGATCCTTTAATCTGGCTTTATACAACTTCAGATCTCTCCTCCACCCCCGTCTCTCTCCAACAACTCATCTCTTCGTCAAAATTAAGTGAACGCATCTCTCGTTGACCCATGCTGCGCTGCATGAACAGGGAAATGCCAGGCGTCCTTACCCGATGGCCTCTTGCCCCAGCTCTCTGGTGACCCTGAGGAAGCGTTTCATCCTGACCCCGTGGCCGTAGTAAGGATAGATCATGGGCTGATTGCTGGCGTCGTTCTTGACGCGGAGGTTGGTATGCAGGAGGGTGCCCAGGCGCCGCAGGAAGTTGCCCAGGTCCTTAAGCAGCTCAACGGGGGGAAGCAGGACCACCAGCACCAAGGTGCCTCTGGCCTTGCGCTCTGGAACCCCCTCCACACAGTCCAGCCCGTCCCAGCCGCACTCCTCATTGTTACAGCCCTGGTCACAGTTCCCATCATCATAGTGATCCAGGCAATACTGATTGTAGAAAGGGCTGTGGAGACAGAAGAGGTAAGACATGCTGCACATCAGCTCGCCCACCCCACCCCATTGGGACTTCGCACCCACACCCTCTTTGAACAGCCTGAACCCCTCCCCCACAGCCTGAACCCATCTCCCACAGCCTGAGTCCCTCCCCCACAGCCTGAACCCCTTCCCTACAGCCTGAACCCCTCCCCCACAGTCTGAGCCGCTCCCCACCCAAGCCTGAGCCACTCCCTCAGAGCCCGAGCCCTTCCCCCACGTCCCAGCCCAAGGGCCTCCCCTGGGGGTGAGGAGGTTAGGGGAGGTGAGAGTGGGTGAGAGGGGTTGAGCGGGGATGAGTGGGTGACATACTTGCAGTTCCGGTCTCGCTGGTGACAGTCGAAGTTGTCGAACAGGCACTCGGGGCTGTTGCAGTCGGGGTCGCAGTGCTGGTTGCCGAAGCGCTGTCGGCAGGTCTCTCCGAGGGTGCAGTTCTCCCAGGGGTCCTTCAGGGTGAGCGAACAATCCCCCCCGTCCCAGCCGCACGCCCGCGTGTCACACTCCCTGTCGCATACACTGTCGCCCGCTTTGGCCAGGCAGTCGGTGCTGGGGCAGGCTTGCTCTGCGGGCACCTGACACGTGGGACCCTGGAACCCCACGGCGCAGCGGCAGGTGTAGAAGGGTGGGGTGGGCTGGTCGGTGCAGAAGCCGCCGTTACGGCACGGTTGAGCAAAGCAGGGGCCGGAGGACAGCAGTTGGCACTCGGACCCCCTGAAGCCCCGGGGGCAGCGACAGCGAGGGCCAGCGGGCATCATCACGCAGGCACCCCCGTTCAGGCACGTCACACGCCCACACGTGTGGTTAGTGAACTCACAGCTTGGCCCCGCCACACCCTGCACAACAACCACAAATTACATTTGTTATAGCGCCTTTCATGTCAGGAGGACGTCCCAAAGCACTGGACAGTCCCAACACCAAGAGTTACAGAAATTAGATACCTGTCGTATCAATCGGGACCATTAAAATAATATAATAATCCTTGCATTCGATACAGCGTCTTATCACGTAGTTGAGATGTCTCAAAGCGCTTCACAGGATATATTGTAAAGTGGATTGACTATATTTTGTGGGTGAAACGCAGCAGCTAATTGCGCACAGCAGCGTCCCACAAACAGTCGTGGATTGAGGGACCAAATTATTTATTTACCTATTTATTTAATGGGGAGGGATTGGAGCAATCCTCCAAACGATTAACAACCAGGTTCCCACTTACTGCTAGGTAAACAGAGGCGTGTGGAGCGAGGAAACTTGCCTAACGTTTCGCCCTGCCCAAGAATCGAACCCGAGTTCTCTCGCTTGCCAGGCGAGCGCATTGACCAATACGCTATGGAACTCCATGGGAACATAATATTTAATATGAAGGCTGAGTTACAGGCAAACTTGTACATAGGGGATAAAATCCAATTTAATCAATAATCTTCACCGCAAATGCGTAATTCAATGCAGCCGATAAGTGCGGGAGTAATGGAGGGTAGGGGAGAGGCGTTGCGAGTTAGGAGGTGATTAATATGTCTAGTGCAAAGAAAATCTAAGTGGTTTTGCTAGGAAACTGAATGGGACTCGGGTGGATGTACGACTTAGGCGATTATATGATTTATAAAGATAAGACGTACACAAGTTTTACTGTACACACAACCCCCCCCCCACCCCGGACCGAATAACCACATACAACAACAGACCAGTTGTCAGGAGTTCAGATGTGGGGCTTGAACCCGCAACCCTCTGACTAAGAGGCGAGAGCACTACAGAGTGAGCCAGGCTGTTCCTGCAGCTCATGGGAAACCTCTTGGCAGCACTTACCGGTCCGCAGTGACAGCTGTACCCCCGAGGGGCATTAATCGTCAGTGTACACGTGCCCCCGTTCAGGCACGGCTGAGACAGGCACAGGTCTACCACCGTCTCACAGCGCCGCCCTGAAAGGAAGAGAGAACGTGGCTTTTTACAGCAACTTGTAACATCAAAACATCTTAAGGCTCTTATAACACAATCATCTTTGTGTTTGATGTAACATCTTACCTTAGATCCAAAGTTGCCTGGTATATAGTAAACCACACTTACTATATGTCTCATCTCAAATTACTCATACACTGTATTCAAAATATTATTTTCTAATAAAGTGGAAATCTAGCATTCCACTTTGTTATTGTAGATCGCCCACAAATATACAGTCAATTCACTTTACAGTCTATTCTGTGAAGCGCTTTGAGACGTCGAGAAGACGTGAAAAGCACTATATCAAATGCAAGGATTATTATTATTATTAATTATGAACGTGGCAGCCAATATGCGCACAGCAAAGTCCGAGAGGTGAATAATAATAATCCTTGCATTTGATATAGAGCCTTTATCCCATCGTTGATATTTTCGAAGCGCTTCACAGAATATACTGTAGAGTGAATTGACTGTATATTTTGTGGGTGAATGACCTATAACCAAACACAATGGAGTTCCCCCCGTACCCCGTTAGACCTCACTGTGCCTATGAGTGTGTGAATGGCGAAGCTCTGTACTGACCTGTGAAAGCCGGGCGGCATCGACACACGTAGTCATTGGCGAGTTGCACACAATCCAGGCTGCCCTGACCGTTACAGGGATTGGGGTGACACTCGTTCACGTCGCCCTCGCACCGCTCTCCGGCAAACCCTGGCGGGCACACACAGCCGTACCCACCGATCTTGTCGACACACTGGCCGCCGTTCAGGCAGCGGGGCTCCCCCGTCTGGGGGTGGGGGTCGGGCTGACAATCATCGATGTTTATTTCACACAGAATCCCTGGTGGAGAGCAGTCCGTTTACAAAATTACTGACACAATTCTTACACTGTATCCCACAAAGACAAGTCCTCACTCACTCTGCATCCCACCTGCCTCTGCTCTCACGCTGTCAGTCACTCACTCTCGCTCTGTCAGTCACTCACTCTGGCGCTGTCAGTCACTCACTCTGGCGCTGTCAGTCACTCACTCTCACTCTGTCAGTCACTCACTCTCGCACTGTCACTCACTCTCGCGCTGTCACTCACTTTCGCACTGTCACTCACTCTCAGGCTGTCAGTTACTCTCACACTGTCACTCACTCTCACGCTGATGTACATGAAGTGAGTGTGTAATTTACCCTCGGTACCGGGGGGGCAGGAACACTTGTATTGATTGACCAGGTCGATGCACGTCCCGCCGTTCTGACAGCCGTTGGTCTGACATTCGTCCACCTCGTATTCGCAGTTGACGCCCTGGTAACCAGCCACACACTGGCAGGTGGGGGGGGGGGGGGGGGGGGGGAGGTCACAGCGGTTAGAACATTCTCCCTGTGACTTCAGTGCAACAGCCACACAAAGTGAATCCATAAGACCCCTGTCTGCCAAGCTTTCCCACTGCTTGTTCGGCGAGAACCACACTGCCCGTTAGGGCTTTGACTTGCAGGGTTAACAGGAGCTGAGCGGGAGGATTCCCTTGCCTTCAGTGACTGGTCTGCCCTTCCAAGTACTGCCGCTGTGCTGACATCAACTGTCCGCAAGACCATTAAATGGCTAAGCAACTAAGGAGACACCCTAAATCAGGAGACACTTTTTTCACACAGAGCGTGGTAGAAATCTGGAACTCTCTCTCCCAAAAAGGCTGTGGATGCTGGATCCATTCAAATTTTCAAGACTGAGGTGGATAGATTTTTGTTAGGTCAGGGTATCTAGGTAAGGGACTGTTTATTTGTAGGTGAACAAATTTGTGCGCAATATCATCTTACACAGTAAATGACCAATTCCATCTGGGGAAATGTTGGCCAGGACACTGGGAGAGAGAAACTCCCTACTGATTCTGAGCAGTGCCATGAGATGGTTCTAGTCAGTGTCATATTTCTCTGTAGAGTTTCACCCAGAATACATTTAGAGCTTGTTTTTTGGGGGGGAACGGGACTGTGATTTGCTTTGGTTTGTTCTTCTTCTTATTATCGGGGTGTGACTGCCGGGAAACGGAAGTTTCAGCCTTGTGGAGCCGGACGCCTCACCTCACACACGTAATTGTTGAGGAAGTCCCTGCAGATGGCGCCGTTTTGACAGGGGCTCGAGACACAGTCATCCACGTTGACCTCGCAGTAGCTGCCGCCGTAGCCCATTGAGCATTGGCAACGATGACTGTTCCCAACGTTGATACAGACGCCCGAGTTTTGGCAAAGCTGCTCCACCTCAAGTAAGCCTGGAAACCGAGGGGAGAGTGGGCAGAAAGCATTATAACAACACTGACATTCAACACCTACATTTCATTAAATCGTTGAAGAGTCTCAAAGCACGTCACAGGATGTTACGTCTACTGTAAACTGTGGTAGCTATGTATTGGTACACTACCACCAAATTTATGCACACCAACATCTTACTAACAGCCACAAAGTGAGCGATCAATTCCATCTGGCCAGGACACTGAGAGAGAGAAACTATAATCTGGGTCACGACGGACCGGAAGCAAAGCATACCTCGTTTGAGGGCAGCCACTGCACAGGAAACGTTGGGCACATCGCAGTACAACCCCATCCAGCCGCTTGGACATTCACACCGGAAGCTGGCTCCATGTTGTATACACTTCCCTCGGTTCTTACACTGCGATCGACTGCACAGATTATCCAGCTTCTACATCAATAAACCAAGACGGGGATGATATTGGCCATTAGTAATCTGCCAGTGACTGACCCATTGCCACTCTGTTTAGACACCCACATTTACAATGTACCCCCAAAATCCCCGGTGGAGTCCTGTAGTGTAGTGGTTAGAGAACTTGCCTCGCAAGTAAGAGGACTCGGATTCGATTCCCAGACAGGTGAAACCTTAGGCAAGTTTCCTTACTCAACACGCACCTGTTTATCAGCAGCAAGTAGGAAACCGGTTATTAGTTAATTGGCGGATCACTTTCCAGGGGTAATAATCCCTCACAAAAAAATTGGGTCATTCACTCCAGAACTGTTTGTGAGACACTGATTTCTGTGTTTGGCTGCTGCATTTCGCGCACAAAATACACAGTCACTCCACTTCACAATATATTCTGTGAAGCGCTTGGAGACATCTCAATGTGATAAGGTGCTATATCAAATGCAAGGACCGTAATTATTATTTTTAAGTCTTCAGCTTCAAAATAATAATAGCCCTAATAATAAGATAATCGTGGTATAATGCCTTATCAGGTCAGATGGACAAAACACTTCACAGAATATACTATGAAATGATTGTGCACAGCAATGTCCCACAAGCAATCATGAAACGAGTGACCAATTTGATTTGGGTGATTGTTGTCCAGGGAGAGATTCCCTTCCTTTCCCAATAAATGATTTTATTGATACAATTTCAGTAATTTTGGTGGGGGAAAAGGTCCTGGGATAAATGACTGTGTTGTCAGCTTGGTGTCAGGATTGGAGGTATCTCCCTTTCTCTCTTCCCTTCCCCAGCCCACTCACTGATCCTTCCTCTCCCCCACTCCCTCTCAACGGCCCCATCACCCCCTCTTACCTGACAGTTGTTGCCAGAGTACCCCAAAGGGCAGGTGCAGCGGTAACTACCTAAGCCATCAGTGCAGGTGCCCCCGTTCTGGCAGGGTTTGGAGTCGCACTCGTTGATGTCGTGCTGGCAATTTAAACCGGTGAAGCCGGGCTGGCACTGACACGTGTACGTGTTAATACCATCCACACAGGTCCCACCGTTGAAACACGAGCTGCCAAAGATGGGAGAGAAGCACAGAGGCACGGTCAGTTGCATTCGGGGGTGTCCTAAATCAATAATAATATTTACCTATGATACAGCACCTTTCAAGTAAGGTGGACATCTCAAAGCGCTTCACAAGTGAGTGACCAATTTTATTTGGGGGATTATTGGCCAGGACACCAGGAGACAGAAACTCCCTTCTCTTTTCAAAAAGTGTCATGGGATCTTTAACGACAATCTGAAAATGCAGGCGGGAGCTTAGTTTAACGTTTCAGCTGAAGAATGGCACATCCGACAATGCAACACCACCCCAGCACAACATTGAAGTGTCTGTAGGTGTCAAACAACCGGCTGACCAAAAGCACTCGTCCTCTCTCCCCACCAATCCTCAGGGGTCGGGTTGCTACCCAGAGACGAAGGGAAAGGGTTACAACACTTGTTGGAGTAGAGGAAACAATGCATTGCTGTTGTTCGTTCCCAAGCTTCTTTAAGGGATTAGTGACTGGCTGTACAGCCTGCAGCAGGCCTGGGCTAATTTAAGGCATTCAGACTAATGCAGATTAATGGTGTGAAGGAATGTCAGGACAATGTGTGGGAATGCTCCTCGCTCTGCCTGCTCCCCACACTGGCCTGTTCACATCCCCCCCCCAACCCAACCACACACATGATCAGAAGGCTCCACACATTATTATACGCCTGGGGGCAGCAGAGTAATGCGAAAGCACCTTAACCTGTAGCCTGCTATTGAGAGGCTGTCATTCAAGGCTGACCCCAGGCAGGAGGGAGGGAGGCAGTCCGCACAGGTATGGCTTTATTGCATGTAACAAAACCTGTTGTCGTCAAGACCATCAATTACTGCTGTAAAGAGGCGGCTGATATGTGCCTGAGGAGGTCCTGGTGGGAGTGGGTGGAATGGAGCTGACTGATAGACTGGAGCGGGGGGCCCTCACCTCCTTCCTCTCTGTCTCTTCCTCCTCCTCTCGGGCTCATCATCCCCGCCACACCCATCTTTGTGTCTCCCTCACTCTCGGAAAGCGTTTACTCATCTCCCCGCCCCCTTTGCCCCCTCTCTCTCCCCACCCTCCCCCATCTCTTTCTCTCACTCCCTCCCTCTCTCACATCTCCCTTCTCTCTTACCTCCCTTCCTCTCCCCCCACACTCTCTCTCTTGCTTGATCACCTCTCTTCCCCCTCCCCTTCGCTTGCTCACTCTAGTCTCTCCCTCCCTCTCTCCATCTTGTTCCCCTCACCCTTCTCTTGCTCCCCCCCCTCTCTCTCTTTTGCTCCCCTCTCTTGCTCTTCCTCTCGTTATTCCCTCTCCCTCCCCTTGCTCACCTCTGTGTGCAGTCTTGGACGTTGCTCTGACAGTGAATGCCAGTGAAGCCAGGACGGCACTCACACACGTAGCTGTTGACGTAGTCGGTGCAGGTGCCGCCGTTCAGACAGGGGCTGCTCACACATTCGTTCACCTCCACCTGGCACCTCGGTCCCGAGAAGCCAGCGAGGCACCGGCACGAGTAGGCGTCAACGCCATCCACACATGTCCCGCCGTTCTGGCACGGATCTGTAACAGTAATCGCATCGCACATAAACACAACCTCTTTTACTGGAGAGTCCCATAGTCTAGTGGTTAGTGGGCTCGCCTCGCAAGCAAGAGGACCCAGGTTCGCTAACTACTACGCTACAGGTACTCCACATCCAATTACCTCCTACCCACTGCTCCACCCAGCACTCCCCCCACACGCACCCCCGTGCCTCTCGGAACTTTTTTTTAAAAGTTGCTGCCTTCATGCCTGTGGGCCATGCCCTTCATGTCCACACTCACTACTGTGAGTAGGGAAGGGGAAGGTGTTATGCTCGGGGAGTTCCCCCCAGCCCACCACCGGACCCTATGCCCGATCCAACAACCTGAGGATATGGAACCTCCTATCAACACAAGCAAGGAGACAGACACCGTGAGACGATCAGGTCCCTGATCTGCCCACTTCCCCGTGTGCTGGGGGACAGGCAGAGGCTGAGCACTGGCCTGGGGTGGGTGCGGCCCTCGTCACTGACCTGGGCTGCAATCGTCGAGGTTGGTCTCACAGTTCACCCCACTGTAGCCGGATCGACACTGGCACTCGTAGCTCCCGGGCAAGTTCCGACAGGAGCCAGCGTTCTGGCAGGGGCTATTCACACACTCGTCAATGTCCACCGAGCATCTCTGACCTAGGAAATAACCATCACATCACACACCCCACAGAAAGAGACACAAATAGCCTGTATGCGTCTGTCTGCTTGCACTGTGTTCACGTATACGTGTGTGTACACATGGAGAGGAAATGACATTCTCCAGCGAGCCCTGCTGGAAGGTCACATGTACGGATGCCAGGTAAGGCCAAGACAAGATTTGAGAATTGTACCCATACAGTCAAATAGCTCAATGACACCATCACGGCCCATGTAAATAGAGGGTGAGCAGTGACTAAGAGCTCAATCCGAGTTGGAGTCAAACTCTTTATGAATTGCTCAGTTCCGTCTCCCCCGCACCATCACAAGAAACTGAGAGAGTGACCGTACCTTGCCAACCAGGTGAACATGTGCAGCTGTAGCTTTCATAGTCTTCAGATTCAAGGCACACAGCTCCGTTTTCACACGGTTTCGAGGCACACGGGTCAAGAACAAACTCACAGTTCTGGCCTAGGGAGAGACAGGGAGAGATATATACACACACACAGAAACACAGAGAGAGAAAGAGAGACAGAGAAACACTGAGAGAGAGAGAGAGAGAGTGAAAGAAAGACAGAGAATCAGAGAGAGGAGTTATGTATCAGAGAGTGTGGGAGAATGTGTCAGAGAGAGAAGGGAGAGACTGGATCCTTACCGGTGTAGGGCAGAGAGCACGTGCACGAGTAGTGATTGATGTCGTCAACACAGACCCCTTTGTTCAGGCAGGGATTGGATGCACACTCGTTTATATTGATCTGGCAGTCCGACCCTTCAGATTCAGAGAAACAGGAGAGGAAGAAGACAAACTTGTTACAATAATATTCCTTGTGTTCAGCATGGCACCTTTCATACTGAGAGGAGATCACACAAAAAAAAATCCTTGCAATCGATATAGCGCCTTATGTCGATGAGACATCTGAACGTGCTTCCCAGAATATGCTGTAAATTGGTGTGACTGTGTATTTTGGGGAGAAAACACAGCAGCCAATTGCGCACAGCAGTCGTGGTTTGAGTGAGTCCATTTTTTTGAGGGATTGTTACCCATGGAAAATGATCTGACAATCGACTAACAACCGGGTTCCTATTTACTGCTAGATAAATTAAAAAAAGTGCTTCATGGGATTTACTGCAAAGTGTTTGCACGCGAGAGGAACAGTTTCATTTTTTTTCAAAAATCTATTTTCCCCATTTCTAGCGAACTGGAGTCACAAATAAAACAGGGAACTGGTTTGAGCACCACGACTGGAATCCAAATCCACAGTCATTTCCCCTTTTTCCCCAGCTTGGTGCTATTGTTCCACGCTCTGAGATGCTCCGTTTTAATGCAAGTAGGAGTTGTCATCTGATGTCAATTTTCGTGGGACAAGCGTTCCAATACAGTTCCAAATCTCATGCACTACCCCTCACCCCACCCCCACCGTCCTGGCTATCCCAGAACCCACAAACAACAACAACAACATTACATTTGTATAGCGCCTATCACGTTGGGCGGACTTCCCAAAACGCTGAACAGAGTACAGCATTTCAACAAAACAGGAACAATAAAAACAATTACAACAATTTACATTTGACACAACACCTTTCATGTCGGGAGAACGTCTCAAAGCACTTTGCATCATTTACTGTAGAGTGTAGTAACTGTAGGCGAGAGGAATTTGCTGGAGGGAGGAAGACGTTTGGCCAGTTTGGCAGCTGAGGGCTGTGCATTCAGCCACAATGCCCTGAAACTCTGGAACATTCTCCGCCTTGCCTCCTCCTTCCCATTTTCAGGTCGCACCTGAGACCTTCCTCCTCGACTGAGCCTACAGTCACCTCTGCCCTTCTCGATGTCGTGCTCTGCCACTGTTAAGTGTTCCGGGACACGTGAAGGGCACTATATAAATGTAAGTTATTGTTGTTGATGTTGTGTTTGCTCCTGCCCACTGCTCACCTTTGAAGCCTGTCCTGCAGGTACACCTGTAGCCGTTGACCAGGTTCTCGCACGCTCCCCCGTGTTGACAGGGGTCTGATTCACACTCGTCTCGGTCCACGTCGCAGTTCACACCCACCCAGCCAGCCTTGCAAACACACTGGTAGCTATGGGGCAGAGAAAAGGGCTGTTACACACTCACCGCACCGACAGCACTGACAGAGACTAACCCAGAGAACACACCTTCTCCTTACAGGGTGTCCACAAAGTCCTGTTAACCCCCTGTTACAAAACAGCAATATGAGACTACGGAGGAGCTGAAACAAGCTGTCAGAGATGCATTTCTCCTCGTCACGCCATCCACGTTATGAGCGATGTCGCACCGAAAATGATGGCGCTCACACGTCCTCTGGGCATCTAAATACAGTTTGTACTGAATACAATTAATTACTTTTAAATACAATTACCCATATTTTTGTACATCTTCAGTCGTTGGTCAGTGCACTGGGACTTTGTGGACACCCTGTAAAAAGCAGCTTGCTCAAACCAACACCCACAAAGGCTTTCAAACCAGCTCCAACGTTATGGCAACTCTAATTCCATTCACTGTTTCACCTTATCCCTTGCGAAATATTGGGCTAACCCGAACACCATTGATACAGTGAGCTACAGTGAACTCCCTGCCGTTGAGCAGCCCCAGAAAACACAGACGCACACAGAGAATAAATAACACCAAGCACTGACTCACCCGTTCACATCATCCCTGCAGCTGCCGTGAACGCAGGGGTTGCTGTTACACTCGTCCACCTGGGACACACAGTAGGGGTCGTGGTACCCCTCGGGGCAGAGGCACACAAAGCCGTCCACCTTGTCCTCGCATGTCCCACCGTTGTGGCAGGGGTTGGAGGAACACTCGTTGATGTTTACCGTGCACATGGGACCTGCAGGCAGCAACATCAGAAACACGCAGGTTAGGCTTGGCTGGGGGAATCAGTGGCCCTGCAGGTAAGTATCAGACCATGTGCATAGAACACATCCTCCCCGCCCACTGCACTGCGTTCTGCCAGAGCCAAGACCAAACACAACACATTGCCATATTCTGGACGTCTAAAAAAAGATTTACTCCATTGACTCTTTTACTCCGTAACTCTGTCTGTCCAGCGCCTTGGGACGTCCTCCCGACGTGAAAGGCGCTATACAAACGTAATTTTGTTGTTGCTGGTGTCACGTTCTAGAATGTCCGGAATTTATAACAACAATAATCCTTGCATTTTGATATAGCTCCTTAATCAAGTCATTGAGACGTCTCAAAGTGCTTTATACTGTAAAGTTGATTGACTGTTTATTTTGTGGGCAAAATATGCACGTGGCAGTGTCCCACAAACATCCATGGAGTGAGTGATCAATTTTATTTGGAGGATTGTTGGCCAGGACACCAGGAGAGGGAAACTCCTTCTCATTTCAAAAAGTGCCATGGGATCTTCAACTTCCACTAAAACAGGCACACAGGATCTCGATTTAACGTCTCATTCAAAGGGCAGGACCTCTGACAATGCAACACCCCCCCCTAGAACTGTATTGGAGTGTCATCTTAGACTATGTGATTCCAAGTAACGACATGGGGCTTGAACCCACAACCTTTTGACTCAGAGGCGAGAGTGTTACCGCTGTGCCAGGTTTGGAAAATTGTTACAATTTGGGCTGGGTTTAGGTGCAACAATGAGAAGAGTAAAGGCAAGTGGGTCGAGGGGCTTACCTGTGTAACCAGAGCTACAGACACAGTCGTATCGGTTGATGCCATCTTTACAGATTCCGTAGTCGCACGGGTTACTCGCACAGTCATCAGGGTTAACCTCACAATTGGCTCCTGTGGACAGATCACAGAGAAGACACTGATTTAACACTCATGCTTGCGGCGGGGGTTGGGTAGGTGGCGACCAGATGAAGAATCCTGACTTCGCTGACCACTCTGTGAGAGAGAAATTCCCTTTGCTTTTCGAATAGTGCCATGGGCTCTTTAATATAATAATAATAATAATCCTTGCATTTGATATAGCGCTTTTCACGTCAGGAGGACGTCCCAAAGCGCTTCACAGAACACACTGTAAAGTGAATTGACTGTATATTTGTGGGCGAACGCGGCAGCCAATTGCGCACAGCAATGTCCCACAAACAGTCATGGATTGAAAATGACCAATTTATTATTGGTTTTGGTTTTGGAGAGATTATTATTAGGCGTGTGGAGTAAGGAAACTTGCCCAAGGTTTCGCCCTGCCTGGAATTGAACTCAGGTCTCTAGCTTGCAAAGCGAGTGCTCAACCACTGAGCTACAGGACTCCAACATCCATCTGAACAGGCAAACTGGACCTCAGTTTAATGTCTCATCCGAAAGACAGCACCTCCGACAATGCAACACACTCTCCAGCACTGCATTGAGGTGCCAATTGTATGTGATTACTCCAAGTCCCGACTTGGGGTTTGAACCGACAACCTTCTGACTCAGAGGCGAGAGAGCTACCACTGAGCCAGGCTGTCACACAGACCCTAACAACCTGAAAGCGATCCGCCAATCAACTAACATTCGGATTCCTATTTACTGCAAAAGAGACATGTGGTGTAAGGAAACTTGCCTAAGGTTTCACCATGTCCAGGAATCGAACCCGGGTCCTCTCGCTTGTGAGTCGAGTGCTCTAACCACGTCGCTTGTCCATGCATTCGGTAACCCCCCTATGGAATACTCCAATAATCCAATGCCTCTCCCTCAATCCCTCCACCTTGCCCCCTCCTTTCCCATGTTCAGGTCATGTCTGAAGGACTTTGACCGTGCTTACAGTCAAAGAGGAAGGTCTTCAAGCACGACCTCCTGCCTGAAGATCTTCCTCTTTGACCATAAGACCATCAGGCTCCACCACTGTTTAGCACTCTAAGACCCTACCCTGGGTGAAGGTCGCTATATAAATGCAAGTTGTCGGAGTAGGGAATGGGTGGAGACTTGTGTTACTTGCCTGAGGTGCCGACTGGACAGCGGCACTCGTAGTCATTGACCCGGTCAGAGCAGGTGCCCCCGTTTAGGCAGGGCTGGCTTAGGCACTCGTTGATCTGCTCACTGCATATGCTGCCCATGTAGCCGGGGTTACATTTACAGGTAAAGCCAGCGATCCCGTCCTCACACTTGCCGTAGTGGCACGGGTCTGGGAGGCAGTCATCCTTGTTGGTCTCACACAGCAAGCCGGCAAAACCTGGAATTCAAACATAAAATAATATTATAATAATCCTTGCATTTCGATATAGCGCATTATCACGTCGTTGAGATGTCCCAAAGCACTTCACGGAGTATACAGTAAAGTGAATTGACTGTATATGTTGGTGGCAAAATGCGGCAGCCAATTGCGCACTGCAGCATCCCACAAACAGTTGTCGATTGAGTGACGACATTTTTATGTTTAATGAGTGATACATTTTGTTTCACGGTCAAATAAGGTGTAGAGGAAAGGACTCAGCAGACTCTCCAGGAACAAATTCTCTGACTAAATCCCATTCCACCTCTGGACCCTGTGGCGTGATACAACATCTCCCTTTTCACTTCACCATTTCCCAGTGCTACATAAAACCTACATCGTTGCCATAGAGAAACCCATTTCTGCCCAGCCTCCTAGCTCCTTGTTAAAACTGAAATTCAACACTATCTTGTCAATCTCACGCAGATACCCCACGGCGGTGCTCTGTGAGAGTGAAAAATGTCAACCTGGCCCAAAACTAATAATAATAATTCTTGCATTTGATATACTGCCTTATCAGATCATTGAGACGTCTCCAGCGCTTGAAAGAATAAATTGTAAAGTGTATTGATCGTGTATTTGTGGGCAAAACGCGGCAGCCATTTGTGCAAAGAAGTGTCCCACAAACAGTCGTGGATTGAGTGACCAAATTTTGTTTAAGGGATTATTACCTCCGGAAAGCGATCCGACAATCGATTAACAAGCGGGTTCCTATTTGTTGGTAGGTAAACAGAGGCATGGGAGTAAGGAAACTTGCCTCAGGTTTCGCCCTGCCCAGGAACCAACCCTGATTCTCTTGCTTGTGAGGTGAGCGCGCTAACCTCTGTGCTATGGGACTCCAAAAAAAAACATTTCTCCACTGTGGTCTATGTCCACCTCACTCCCGTCCTCCCCACCAGCTCATTATCCATCTCCGCGACCGTAAAGCATTCAGAGGCATTATCTTACATGAGGGGTGCCATTTATGCTATATATGTCGTTGTTTTAATATTTTGAAACAACTTTCAACCACTTCGACCAAAACTCTGGAACGCTCTCCCTCAAGTTCTGTGTCTTTGCCCACTCCTTCTGCGCCACCTCCTCCCGCTCCCCCCAGCTTGACGGCATGCTCCGCCACAGTCAAATGTTCTGGAACGCTACTCTGTGTGTGGGGCACTGTATAATAATATTGTCTCAGGTGGACACAAGGCACAGGGACTACTTTGGCCATTTCTGCAGAAAATGACTGGCAAAGCAGCAAGGGGGTTTGTTATCAAGAAGCGAGTGTGGGAAAGTTATTTCAGCTCAAGAATGTCCTAAGGGCGAGTAACCCAATGCTGAAAAGTGCTGCGCGGGTGCCTTAATTAGTAAGACTGAAAGCTGAGTAACACGGGGGAAGATATCAACTCCTACGCCAAAGGCGGAATTCCTGCTCAAGGCCAGGATAGAAGTTCAATTTTTTTTATATAGCTTTTAAGCTTGACAAATATTTAGTTTTAAGAAAAAAAATAAAAGGAGCCTTTGGCAGTGCTCAGCTAGTACACACGTCTGGGAGAGCCCATCAGTTAAGGGCAAAATTAAGATGATTTTTTGTTCACACGCAGGTTTATCAGAATAAGGAATGTTCTGCCACTGGTGTTGAGTCTGAGACTGCAACATCTTAAAACAAAGAGTTTGGGCGATAGACATGTCAAGGGGAAGAATCTAAAACAAAAGATTTGTTGTTTTTTTTAAAAGTTTAATTGGGGGGAGGGCTGGGTAAGTGGAGGAATTGGAACAGAGGGAAAAAAACAGTATTTAATATTGTAGTGGTTGGCTCCAGTGGCTGAGATTTCTCTGCAATATTCAATAGGCCAAATATTGTTGCCTACAAATACATAGTCCCTACATTTCACAGAAACTGTGTGAAGCGCTTCGAGACGTCCTTCCGTATCAAATGCTTTACTTGTTTACTTACACAGTGACTTTCATGCAGGAAAATGTCTCGAAAGCGTTTCGCAGGGAGAGTGGGAGATGGGGTGGGTCAGGGCTGGACAGGGCGAGTGGGAGCAAGGCGGAGGAAGGTGAAGACCAACACCTTTTGCTCATTCCATGCTTTAAGTCTCTAAGCTACAGATGCCCGCCCATTCAACCAACTGGGGGTGAGGAAATGCAGGTATAGCTGCGGAGCTTCTGAATGCTCCCGCCTCTGGCTCCTGCGGTTATACACAATGTTTCATGTAAAACAAATGCCTCAAAGAGCTTCAAAATCAACAAAAACTTGCATTTATATAGCACACTTCAGCTTGAATAAAATTGGTCACTCGTTTCATGGATGTTTGTGGGACGTTGCAATGGGAAATTGTGCTGCTGCATTCGCCTACAAATACACAAGCACTCCATTTCACAATATATCCTGTGAAGCACTTTGAGCTGTCTGTCTGACATGATAAGGCACGATACCAAAAGCAAGGATTATTATTGTTATTATTCATGCAGTGGTGAGGTTGAATGGCAAGTCAAAAAGGAAGGTCTTAAAGTAGGATTTAAAGATAGATAAAGAGGCATGGAGGCAGAGGGATAGAGACAGGAAGTTCATTGGAATTTAGATGAGCCAGGGTAACAAGGAGAAAGGCTTCACAGAGGGCCTTAACATCCACCTGAATCACAAGCCACAGAATCTTTCACTGATACGTTCGATTTCAGACAAATACACCGCCCAACGGAGCCCCTCCCGGCCAGACCCACTCACCTACGACCAGATCCACGCCCCCACCCCTCCCCCCCAAGCCAGACCCCACACCCAACACTCATACCCAGCCCCCAACTCCCAGCCAGACACTCCCCCCCACACACACAGGACCCACTCTCTCCTTAAGGTTTTCATCATCTGCACTTCATTTCCTCAAATGGCTTCTCCTCTAGCCCCTGGACCGTCTTGTTCGGCGTTCCTTAGGGCTCTATCCTTGGTCCCCTCCTCTTCAATATCTATAAGTTCCCTCTTGGTGACATCATCTGCAGATATGGGGTCAACTTCCACATGTATGCGGATGATACCCAACTCTACCTCTCTGCCTCCACTCTGAGCTCCAGGACCACTGCTGTGCTGAAAGAATGTCTGTCAGACATCAAGTCCTAGATGAGAGCTAACTTTCTTCAGTTGAACGTCAACAAGACTGAGGCTCTCCTGATTGGCTCCCGTCAGCACTTCCTCACCTCAGGCACCGACAGCATCACCATCCATGGTTGAACACGCCACCTTGCTAAGTCAGTCCAGAACCTTGGGGTCTTGTTTGACCCTCAATTATCCTTTCTACCCCACATCTGGCCATGACCAACTCTGCCTTCCCCCACCTCAATAACGTCACCTGGCCCCGACACGGTCTCACACATAGGCCACCGAAACTCTCAAAAACGCCTTCATTACATCAAGGCTCGACTATGCAAACTCACTGCTTATCCCCCTCCCCAACTTCTCCCTCCACAGGCTGCAGATCATCTAGAACTGCAGCCCATGCCCTCTCCTGCACTAGGTTCCGCGACCCTATCACCCCCATCCTCGCCCAACTCCACTGGCTTCCCATCCCACAGAGGATACAGTTCAAGATCCTGGTCCTCATCTTCAAAGTCCTCCACAGTCTTGCTTCCCCCCTACCTCTCCGACCTCCTAACCCCCGACCACCCTGTTTGCTCCCTCCTTTCAGCGGGCTCCAGCCTGATTCATGTCCCCCGCCTTGCTCGCCCCACTATCGGAGGGCGGGCCTTCCCCAACTCTGCCCCCACCACTGGAACTCCATCCCGCAGTCCCTCCGTCTCGCCTCCTCCCTCACCAAGACCCGCCTAAAGACCCTCCTCTTCAACCGTGCTTTTTATCTCACTGCTCCTCCACTCCCTCACCCCGACCTTCAGCTCGGGTCCGTAACTCTGTCTGTCCAGCGCCTTGGGACATCCTCCCAACGTGAAAGGCGGTTTACAAATGTAATTTTGTTGTTGTTTTTACCTTCACTGCATGTGCACTCAAACGCGTTTGGGCGATCAATGCACTTGGCTCCGTTCAGGCAGGGCGTGCTGGCACACTCATCCACATCGATCTGGCATGTGGTCCCTGCAAAACCTATGGTGTGAGAAACAAAACAATCAGCTGGTCCCCAAATCCCTCACACTATAACCACGCTGCTCACACCACACAGAATGCTCTTTGCAAAAAGTGAAGCCAGGCATCTGACACACGTGGAAACCCATCACCGTGCCAAATAGTTATCCAAACCACATGTTCCACTACACATGGAAATTCACGATTCTGGAATGGGCTGCGCACTCTCTCCCTGGAGAGATGCATCCTGCTTACATAATTTTGAAGAGTATTAGGCACAGATTGGCAAGGCTTGAGGACCCCAGAGCATGCGTTGGAGTAACATCTGGAGTTTAACCAGCTAAAACTGCAAAGGTTGCCATTGATATTGCTGTCTAGCAAGCTTTCCTACTGCTTGACCAACTTGGATCATGCTACCTATTGGGGATTTGCCTTGCAGAGTTAACAAGAGCTGAGTGGGAAGAATCCCTGCCCTAGGTTTGCTCCTCCAAATCCTGCTGATGAACCAGGCTGAATATCACAGTATATCCTGTGAAGCATTTTGAGATGTCTTTCCAATGTGATAAGGCACAGTAGTAAATGTAAAGTTTATTATTATTTTTATTATTCCCACAGTGGTTGAACGCCAAGTCAAAGAGGACTGTCTTAAAGTGGGATTTAAAGATAGATAAAGAGGCAGAGGGATAGAGACACGGAGTTCATTTGAATTGCTGTGCTGTCACCAAATTCTTTTTTGAGGGATTATTACTCCTGGAAAGCGATCCACCAATCGAGTAACAACTAAGGTCTTACTTACTGCTCGGTCAACAGAGGTGTTTGGAGTAAGGAAACTTGCCTAAGGTTTTGCCCCACCCGGGAATCGAACCCGGGTTTCCCTGTTTTTTTGGATGAGCTGGGCAAGGAAGGCATTGAAGATGTCAAGTCTGAAGGTAACGTAGAGGTGGAGGGGGGGGGGTGTTCACACGAGTATTAGGGGAACAACACCCCGAAGTTGAGCAGCTGCCATCAGAAGTTCAAAATGTTATTGTAACAATGAAATACAGCAAACACCACTGGCTAACGAATCACTCAGAAAGCCAGAGTCAGCAATGGATTCAAGAAACTTGTGGTGTTAATACTCCACAAGCTGGACACAAAAGGACTCACATCCAATTTTTGTTGTTCACCCTTCCACCCCCTGCCTTAATGTGGCACAGATCAACCCGATGAGATGAGAACAGTCTGCTCTATTTAGAAAGTTAGCAGTGGGGGGTGTGAGGGAATGGGGGCAGTGAGGGGATGGGGGGAGAACACATTCAAGGTGATCTGTGGATTGATCTGTCGGGGCTCACTGAGGAAAGAAAATAATCAAAACATGATGGCTGAAAAGATCTAAAAAAAATCAGTCCATTCTCTAAACGAATCCATTGGTGCAGTGAGAGACTCCTCTAAGCACAATTCCAGTGACTGACTATTGGGGAGGAACTTTCAATATCTTTCCCTTCCTCCACGACGGAGGTAGGGGGGTTGAAATTGTCAAGATTACATGTTAAAGGTTAATGAAATTTGCCTTCTTTCACAAGGGCAATTTTTAGTGTGTGGAGGAGATAGTGTGCATGTTTTTGTGTGTGTGGTTATGGGTGGTGTGCGTGTGTGGAATGTGTGTGGTGTGCGAAGTGTGCGTGAGTGTGTGGAGAAGGTAGTGTGTGTGTGTGTGGTTTGTGTATGCGTGTGTTATGTGTGATGAGGGTGGGGGGAGAGTGGAGGAAAAGGAAATCCTAACAGGGAATGCAGAGCGCAGGGGGCGGGAGGAAAGGAAATCCAACTAACAATGAAACACTGCTCTGATTATGTGCAGCAAAAGTGGCCTCTGATGATTTCATTGCTCTCTCCCCCCACCGCCCACCACATTAACGCAATGAGGCAAGGTCAAAGCCTATTGGTATTCCGAGCAGGCAGGGCTCCTGTGCTGGGGCTGCCTCTTGAGCAGCGCTGATGGATTAAGTGGGGAGAATAGGTCCTGTCACAAGCAGTCAGTCACAACGGGCTGCAAACCCGCTTCATTGGAAAGGACTTGTTGATTGTCAGGCAGCGCGGCCGGGTATGAAAGCACACTGAAGCCCATTGTTCAGGGGCCAAGCAAATCCCTTGTCTGAATAATTTATTATTAATTACAGTCAGAAAAATGACAGGGTTACGGCAAAAGCAGCACTATCAAAGCAATCTGTGCCACGGGGGGGAGGGGATATCCTTACTATTTTGGGCGGCGGGGGGAGAGTGCAATGTGGTGGTGGGGTGCAGTGTGTGTGTGTGGTGGGGGGGGGTGTGGGGCTCGAGATCCGGGGTGGTGGGTGGGAGAGTGCTGTATCTATGCGAGGGGGTAGAGAAGAGGCAGAATTATCGAGCGGGTGGGGGGGGCAAGAGAACCCGTTATACATGGAGGGTGGGAGAGGATAGACTATACTGGGGAAGAAGTGCTGTGTTACCTGTTATTGGAAGGAGTCCTGTTAATGAAGGGGTGGGTGGGTGGCAACATTGCCTTCGAAGCTGTGTGCACACGGGCCGCAGAAATATTCACACTTACGCAGATGGGTCGTCTCTCTGCTCAAAGTAAGGAGGACAATGCAGCTATCTACATGGACCCTGCACCTTGGACAATGCAGCTATCTAGTCTACTCAGATCTATGGGCCATCGCTGTGTGCAAATTGGCTGCTGCGTCTGCCTACAAAATAGAGGTAGGTGTGTGTTTTTTTTCATTCTCAGTCTGGGTTTCACAGGATCACACTGCAAGCACAGGTTAGTGAACTCGAGAGACAGCTTTGGGAGCACATGAGAATCGGTTTAGGAAAGACCTTGTGATAAAAGCCAGGAGCCACGGGGGTTAATTCCCCATCCAACAACCTCCGTCCCTCTCCCCAACCCACACTAAACTCCTATATGAAATACAATGATTTATTATTTATTAATATTCAATAATAATTATTAATGATTATTAATAATAATTTTAGAATCTTGAATGTTGGCAGCAGCTACTCAGAGTGGTGAGTGTTTTACAATTGACAGATCACGAATCAGAGAAGCCTTTGACATCTTCTGCTGAGAGCGACACTCACCAGGGGGACAGTCACACACAAAGCGGTTCACTTCGTCCTTGCACACCCCGCTGTTCAGACACGGGTGGCTTTCACACTCGTTGATGTCCATCTCGCAGTGCATTCCCATGAACCCTGGCGGCAGAAAAATTACACCTTAAGAAGTGTTTTGGCGAGAAGCTGTTTTTAAAAATAAATTCGCAAAACTGTCTGCAGATTTATAAACAACGTTTTTGGTGTTTGCCCACACGTAACCTCCAGTTCCTCGCCAGGCACCACTGCCTCCCTAACACACATACTAAACTCCATACCCCCATCACCCCAGTCCTTGACTTTGACTTCATTGACAAATTGACTTCAAGATCCTCATACTATACTAGTCTACAAATCTCTTCATGCCCTGGCACCTCTCTACCTCTCTTGACTTGCTTACTCTCCCACCCACTACCCGCCTCCTCCTCTGCTCGGCTGGCACTGGACTCTGGTCTCCTGCTTGTCCCTTGTCCCCTCCACCATCAGTGGCTGTGCTTTCAGCTACTAAACCCTGAAACGCTGGAACTCTCTCGCTCAATCCCTCAGCCTTAATAATAATAATAATAATCCTTGCATTTGATATAGCGCTTTTCACGTCGGGAGGACGTCCCAAAGCGCTTCACAGAATATACTGTAAAGTGAATTGACTGTATATTTGTGGGCGAACGCGGCAGCCAATTGCGCACAGCAATGTCCCACAAACAGTCGTAGATTGAAAATGACCAATTTATTATTGTTTTTTGGGTTTTTTGGAGGGATTATTATTAGGCGTGTGGAGTAAGGAAACTTGCCCAAGGTTTCGCCCTGCCTGCCTGGAGCCTTACCTTCTTATTCCCCATTTTCAGATCATGCCTAAAGACCTTCATCTGCTCCCTCCCTCTGGCTCAGCATCAGGCTCTGTCATTGTTAAGCGCTCCAAGATGCATTTTTTCTGTTTTTTAATCTTTTTTTGGTAGCTCTTTACCAGTCCGTGTTGTGTTTATACTCCACACGAGTCCCTAATCAACTCTCCGATATACCTCTTTTTTTTCTGTATTGAAGTGCTGAGATGTGAAAAGCGTTAACTTGCATAAGTCTTAGAAGTCGTACATTCACCCAAGTCCCATTCAGTTTCCTATTGAAACCACTTGGGACTAGTCGTATTAATTATCTCCTAACTCATAATGTCGCTCCCTTATCTTCCACTACTTCCGCACTTACCAGCTGCATTGAACTGCGGGAAATGACGCCCTGACCCGTCAACACATACGCACTTACCAGCCGGCTGCATTGAATCGTGGGGAGCATAGATAAACATTGACCCATCACCTTAGGTCACACTTACCACATTGATTAAATGTTATGGTCCCGACTGAGCTTTACTGTATAAATGTAAATTGTATGGTATTTTATTCGCTTCTCCCTCTGTGTTTTGAACGGTTGAGGTTTCCGGAGGATATGTATCGGCCACCCTACTACCCCGGGAGCCTCACCTGGCATACAGATGCACTTGAATTCCCCGATCTGGTCCAGGCAGGTGGCATCGTTCTGGCAGGGCATGGAGATGCACTCATTGATGTCCGTCTCGCATCGCGGTCCTGTGTAGCCCACCGAGCACTCGCAGCGGAAAGAGCCATCTGTGTTGACGCACTTCCCCCCGTGCTCACAAGGGTTGCCTCCTGCATGCGGCGCAAGGCAAAGTCAATTGCAATGAACTTTAATAATAATCTTTGCATTTGATCTCGCACCTTAACACGTCATTAAGACGTCTCAAAGCGTTTAACAAGATATATTGTAATGTGGATTGACTGTACTTGTGGGAGATATGCAATAGCGAATTGCACACAGCAGTGTCCCACAAACAGTCCTGGATTGAATGACTAAATTTTTTACATTATTTTGGAGTGATTGTTACCCCGGAAAGCGATCCACCAATCGACTAACAACAGACTACTGCAAGGTAAACAGTAAAGAAACTTGCCTAAAGTTTCACCCCGCCTGGAAACCGAACCCGGGTCCTCTCTCTTGGAAGGCGATATGCACTAAACACACTACTTCACATGGACTTCACATTTGCCTGTGTATCATGACCTGCCTGAAGTGTGCTGAGCAGCAGGGTGAAGCAGTGATTGAATTTAATCATTCATATCACAGTGATTGTGGTGCTCAAGAGAAAACAGTGACTGGAAAAGACAGCGGGTTACACTGATGTGCAACAACTAGAAACAATGGGAGGTATTGTGACCCCAGTTGGCAAACCCTCAACATACGTCACCATAACTCGTTGACCTTGGGATGGAACCTTGTACCTAGCTAGGCCTCTGTGGAAAACTAACCACACTAAAAAAAACTCCAAAAAAGGAACTGGCTGGCACCACAGATCACATTACTTCTTTGATACAATCCAGTCCAGACCAAATGGGTACACAATTCCTCTTACAATAATAATAATCCTTGCATTTGATGTAGTGCCTTATCACGTCGTTGAGACATCTCAAAGCAGAATATATTGTAAAGTGAATTGCTGTGTGCCTGTAGCCAGAGGGACAAGAAGAAAAATGTTTTTTTTTCGACCACACCTCTCGTGATCTTGTGGAGAGCAAGCGTATAAAAGGTAAGTGCCTCACAGACGCTGTAAGAGAGAGCTCTACTGAGTTCTATGGCCTAATGCTGGCACCAGCAGAGATCCCCTTACTCTGCATCCAACCCACGTCAAATCCGTCTGTAAGAGCTCAATGCCTACACTGGTAGAAAAAGTGTAGAGCGCTTCACTCCCCTGCGCAAATCGCAACTTGTAACAAAAAGAAGTAGGTTGTAGAATCAGTACATCTAAAGAATAAAGTGGTTTATTGATTTGTGCTAAAACCTGAGGCTAGACAGTAAGCTGTTCAGTGATCACTGGCCCTGATCCAGACACTCACCAAGAGAGCACTCATTTATGTCCTCGTCACATGCCGTGCCCCTGTAGCCAGAGGGACAAGTGCAAAAGTAGTCGACCTTCAGAGGGTTGGTGTTGCACACAGACCCTTCATGACAGGGGTTACTCACACATGCATCATCCAAGTGGCAAAGAAGACCTGAAAATTAACCATAAATGTCACAATAATAATCCTTGCATTTGAATATACGTTGTTGAGACGTCTCAAAGCGCTTCACAGAATACTTGGTTAATACAGTAAAACTTGCATAAATCATATCAGCTAGAACCGTAACATTTAATATGACTTATGGAAAGCATAAGTGTCATATACGACTGTGTACTTCGTGGGTGAAGTGTAATTAGTGCAACTAAAATGCCCATGAAAGACGAGCTCAATCCTAAGACTCGAATCTCCTCCTGTCTTTTGATTGTTTTGGTTTTTTAAAAGCTGAGGAACAATCTTACTTGATTATTGAGGGATCACCTCTTAAGCTCAAGTTCTGGCATGGGGCTTGTGACCCAGAAACACGTGTTGCTGATTGAGCCGAACTGAGCTCCTCACAAAGCTCTTCACAAAGCAGAAATTGAGGGAATGGAGAAGAGAAGGGGTGATCGGTATTAATGGGAGACTATTATTTCCTGTTACACTCTGGTTTGGCTAATACCCAATAAACTCGTGCAAGCAATCTGAATGGAAATATCTGGCAGAGCCTTGTGAGTAAACTTGCGTTCTCTTACATCCACACCCTCTGCAAAGTGCAGAATGTCCACAAAGTCCTGTCACTCCATTGTTTTTTTTCTTACAATTAATTTTTATTTTCTGTTGCAGATGAGTCGAGTGTAACAATGTCTGATACCAGTAACTTCCTCGTCACTCCATCCATGTTACGGATGATGTAGCACCGAACATAGCGATCATTATCTGCCATGAAAATGATGGCGCTCACACACATCTAAATATTTGTACTGAATACAATTAAGAACTTCTAAATATAATTATCATCATTCTTCCACATGTGTCAGTTGTTGCTCAGTGCGCTGTAGGGAAAAAAAAATATGGTGGTAACAGGACTTTGTGAACACCCTGCAGAAAAAAAAATCCCTTCCTTACCTGTTTTTCCAATGGGGCATTCGCAATAGAAAGAGGCAACGCGGTCAATGCAGGTGGCACCGTTCATGCAGGAGGTGGTTGCGCAGTCATCGATGTTCTCACTACAGTCATCTCCACTCCATCCGTTCACACAGATGCAGTCATAGCCTCCAATGTTGTTGGAACAGGTCCCTCCATTCAGACAAGCATTTGGCTGCAGCTGACACTCATCCACGTCTTCTGTGCAGAACTGACCTGGAGGAGAACAGGTTAAAGATACCTAAGAGGATGCTCACTCTGTGCGCTCCTACAGTCAGAGGCAATAGCTAAGAGTCTCACTATCCAGAAGAAATGCAACCAAAAGCATGGTCAAAGAGATGGGGCTTGTGGTGAATTCGGAAGCTAGACGGATGGGATCCAATGATGAATCATAGAATCTTACAGCACAGAAGGAGGCCATTTTGCCCATTGAGCCTGTGTCGACTCTTTGAAAGAGCTATTCAATTAGTCCCACTCCCCTGCTTTTACCCCAGAGTACCTATCCAATTCCCTTTTGAAAGCTACCATCGAATCTGCTTTCACCACCCTTTCAGGCAGTGCATTCCAGATTACAATAACCATAATACATAACAACTCTGGGTAAAACAAATTCTCCTCCCCTCCCCTCTGAAGTTCCAAAGAGTGGGAGGGGGAAGGGTTGAAAGCAATGGTATGGTGGACTGGTCAAGGGACGTGAAGCAGGCCAGTGTTTTGCTGAGAGGAGAGGCTGCAGTTCTTTGGAATATAACCAAGGTCTACTCAGCCTTTCATCATCGGTGAACCCATTAATTGCAGGTATTAATCTAGTTTGTCTCCTAGGTAGCTGACATACCTGTCCACTCTGGAGTGCACTGACAGTTATAGGTATTGACTCCGTCCACGCAGGTCCCTCCATTGTTGCACTTGTGATCTGGACAATCATCAATGTTGATCTCGCAGTCCTTCCCATCGAACCCTGGCAAAGTGCAACAAAACCAAGAGTGTTGGCCTTAGCAGGAGGAATCCTGGTCTTCGTGTGACTGCCTGACAAATTTATCCCAATCCCAAAACACCAAGACTGTCTCTTTGACATAACTCAGACTTTGCAGAAGCCATATTAAATGTATGGTCCCAACTGATACAACTTAAGTGAGGTTGACTGTATTTCCTGATTTTCTCTAGTCCATTAATTTTCACACTGTAATCACTTGGGATAGCCATACAATAATACATGTACAATCAATTTGGTTATTTATGAAAATATCTGGTCTATCGTTATTATTATTATTTATTATTATTATGATTATAAGGGCCCAATTGAAATCTGTGTCACTCTGTAATGCTGCTTGTACTAAAGGCAGTTTATTAATTGCTGACTTAGTGCAGCTAATCACACCCAGTCTCGGAATATCCGTTTGTACAACTTCCAAGAGGCTTGTTTTCTTTAAAGCTCCGTACATCCTGGAACATGACAAGGGCCTGCTTCCTACACACCCTTTCCCTCCAGAACGCATCTTGCCTAGTCTGTCTGCGAGCTCCTAATTGACCTTACAGTAAAGCTAATAATGTCAAGGGAGACTAGTAATCCAGGTAATTGTTTAAAGTAATTCGCCAGTATTTGAGTTTAAACGTTTCCTCATTGACAAAGTGTGTTTCCTGGCCAGGATCCTGAGCCAGATAAGCACCATTTTATACACAAGCACAAGCATGAGCCACAAGCAAGCAAGTGGAAAAGGTTCATGACAAGCGTGAAATAGTGGTGCTCAGACAGACTTGAGGGTGGCAACCGCACCCACATGAGTTTTGGGGCGTGGGTATTTGTGTGAGCCAGGCACAATTTGCTGAATAGCTTCTTTCAGATCAATATATTTCTCTGATTTCTGGTTGTGTGTGTGTGTGGAGTGCGTGAAGGAAAAGGGCGGGCTATGTCCGTTTGCATACAAACATGGTGCATGTGCGTGTGTTTATATGGGGGTGGGGAGCCGTGTGTTTGTGTGTTGGGCTGGGGGAGCAATGTGGTGTATGTGTATGTGTGTATATGTGTGCGTGCATACGTGTATGTGCGTGTGTGTGTGCTTCGGGGAAAGGTGCGAGTCTGTGCGTGTTGGGCAGGGGAACAGTGTGTGTGTGTGTGTGTAGCGTGTGTTTGTGTGTGTTGGGCAGGGGGGTAGTGTGTGTATGTGTGAATGTATGTGTGTGGTGTGGTCTGTGTGTGTGTGTTGGGCAGGGAATGGGGGGGAAGCTGTGTGTGATATCCTGTACTTTCCTGTACCTGGCAGGCAGTTACACTCGTAGGCTAGGTCATCATTGGTTGGGCGGCAGGTGCCTCCATTGGTGCAGGGTGACGGTGAGCAGGGCACGTAAACACTCTCGCAGTTGCCACCGGTAAAGCCCGCCTGGCAATGGCAATGGTAGGAACCGGGCACGTTCTCACACGTGCCCCCGTTCTGGCACAGGTTCCCGGCCACACATTCATCCACGTCTGTCTGGCAGGAGGAGCCAGTGTAGCCAGGTGTACAGGCGCACGTGTAGCGGCTCCCAGAATTGCCACACGTCGCTCCATGGAGGCAGGGTTGCGAGGAGCAGGCATCCACTCGCTGGCAGGTCTTACCTGTGGAAAAGTTAACGAGAATGATCAGAGCAGGGTGGTTCAACTTTTGGCCCGAGAGCCACAGTTGCCATGGCGGATGATTTCATCCGGCCCGTGAAACTTTTCCAACATCCTGTTAACCCCCCTTTTTTTTCTTACAATAATTTTTATTTTCTGTTGCAGAATTGTCGAGTGTAAGTAACAATGTCTGACACCAGTAATCTTCCTCCTCACTCGCTCCATCCATGTTATGGAAGATGTGGCACCAAACATGGAGATGGATCGTTATCTGTTATGATAACGATGGGGCTCATTCACACCGATCCTCTGGATATAAATGCAGTTAAACACGTGTACTGAATACAATTAAGTTCTTCCAAACACAGTACCATTATCATCATTCTTCCACATGTTTCAGATGTTGGTCATCGCACTGGAGGGAAAAACAACTGGGTATAACAGGACTTTGTGAATAACCATATACAAAGCTGATCAGAAAACGTCTCTCCTCACCTGTCCATCCTTGCTGGCAGACGCACTCATATCGCTCCAGGGAGAGGAGGCGGCAGGTGGCTTGGTTCTGGCAGGGTTTGCTGGAGCAAGCGCTGGGGATGGCAGTCTCACAGCGCTCACCGGAAAATCCCAAAGCACAAGTGCACGTGCTCTGTACTTGGCTTCCGGCGTACAGCACACTGCACGTGCCTCCGTTCAGGCAGGCTGGGATCCGGCAGGGATTAGGGTACTGACAATACTCGCCCACAAATCCAGCTCCACATCTGCAGGAAGGAAAGAGGAGTTTTTGATTTTAGAGTTCACAGCACAGATGTTTTCACTCCCTGCTCAGCAATAGTATTGAAGAGAGCGTGGGAGGTGGGAGGGTTCATTGTTCAAACCCGCACACCAAGCACAAGACTCTCTAACGTCAGTGGGTCAGGATCACCGTAAATGACTTGCAATAAGAAAGAATGACAACCATGAATGACACCCTAGCTCGTTGGCTCCTCAGCATGGGCTGATACAATGCAGGGTTTGTACTTCTAAACCATGTTACAAGCTTCTGATCCTGTCTAAGCCGAGCCTTGGCACATTCGCCCACAAAATACAGTCAAAAATTCGCTTTACAGTGTATCCTGTGAAGCACTTTGAGACATCTCGACGATATGATAAGCCACTATATCAAATGCAAGGATTATTATTGTTATGATTATTCTCCCAGGGAGGCTTTGGGAAAGGGGGAGGGGGACGACAACAAAGATGGCTACCTTGATTGAGGCCACAATCAGATACCAAACAGCACTGAGAGATGTGTAACGCTTTGTGTGGTCCACTTAGGTGCATCTTTCGTGAAGTGCACATAGACCTGTTTATTTACCTATATTAAGTATCGTTAGGGAGGTCAGAAGGCCACGCACCGCCCGCACACTTCTCTCTCTCAAGTCTTCGCACTTCAGAAGTTTAGCTTAAAAGTAAATTTGCTAAAGTGCAAAGTGTGTGTAGTGCCAACAGCAGATTCAAATCCCCCTCCTTCCCTCCCTGTAAAAATTTCTCATCTCCACCCAAATGGCAGAAGATTCCTGGCAGATGTTGGGGCTTTGGAGGTTCGGAGATCAAAATGTTCTGTGCAAACGCACTCTACTTCATACTTCACCTCCAAGATTTTTGCTAACTAACTCTTTACTTCTTTCATCCATTAAATGTGACCAGAGAAATGCCAATCAGTGAACTGCAAAGCTACAACAACAACTTATATAACATCCTACATGTCGGGAGGACATCTCAACGCGCTTCACATGATATAATAATCTTTGTATTTGATATAATACCTTATCGCGTCACACGTCTCAAAGTGCTTCACAGAATATAGTGTAAAGTGGATTGACTATGTATTAGTGGGTGAAACAAGGGAGGCAATGCGTGGATTGAGTGACCAATTTTTAAAAATTATTTTGGAGTGATTGTTAACCCCAGAAAGCAATCCACGAATCGACTAATAACCAGTTTCCTACTTACTGTTAGTTAAACTGAGGTGTGTGGAATAAGGAAACTTGCTTGAAGTTTCGCCCCAGCCACAAATTGAACCCGGATCCTCTCGCTTGCAAGGTGAACGTTCTAACCATAATGCTATGGGAAATACTGTAAAGTGCAGCGATAAGGATGCAGAACTGTATGTGTGTTTGAGTGTGTGTGTTGTGTGGGGGATCGTGCCAGTTTGCATATAGCAAGTTAGTTTGTGACATGCTGCCTGACCAAAGACAAGACTCCAATTGCATAGCAGGGACCTAGAGGGTGTAAGTGATGGGATAGTTTTCTGTGTCTCATGTGAGCGACAGCTTGCTGGGTGAACAAGCCAAGTGTTCACATCAACCTCCCCTCCGAGGTAAAATCTGAACGCAGCACATTACACTCACACCGTGTGGCTGTCCAAAAACATAATGAAAACAAGAAACCGTATGAAATGGTGAAGAAATCACATGAGAGTTTTTTTTGGTAAATATCAGGGCCACCCAGACTGGAAATCTGCAGATTCAAATCCCAATTAATGCTGAGTTAGCAGTTTGAGGCAGCACAATTGTCATCTGTGGCACACCTCCCCGGGAATGGGAAAATCAAAATCAGTTGGCGTTCCCAGTCCTGATGGCGCCCCACAGCCCCTCCGCCTGTGTGTGTGTGTTGATGTCAGGGCGATGACTGGAATGCATGCAGCCCGATTGACTCATCCTCCCCACTGGCGAGGCTGTGGGCCATTCTGGGTGGCAGAGGATGCTGTGTGTGCGGCACAAACACGATGCCACAGCAATCCGGTCAAAGAATCAACAGCAACAGAAGAGCCAGACGTTAGTAGAGCGGAGAGAGACGCCAACCACAGGCAAGATCCAACTGGCAAGCAACCCCTCCAGCCAGTTGCATTTGGCACTCTGTTCACAGTTGTTCGCCAGATGGAGATTTAATGCTGGATACAATGAGCAGAGGTTTCAGAGATTAATTGGACATGGACAATAATCCTTGCATTTGGTATAGCATCTTATCACATCACTGAGATGCCTCAAAGCACTTCACAGAGTATATTGCAAACTGGAGTGACTGTATTTTGTTGTCAAATTGCAGCAGCCAATTACGCACGGGATTGGGTATAGTGTATCAGCTTGGCTCTCGCCTCCGAGTCAGAGGACTCACACGGTCTTAAGTTGACACTCTAATGCAGTGCTGGGGGAGCGCAATATTGTCGGAGGTGCCGTCCTTCGGATGAGATGTTAAACTGAGACGTCTGTTGATGTTAAAGATCAGGTTGATGTTAAAGATCTCACGGCACTATATGAAAAGAGAAGGGAGTTTCTATCTCCTGGTGTCCTGGCCAACAATCCACCAAATTAAATTGATCACTCACCCCATTGCTGTTTATGGGACACTGCTGTGTGCAAATTGGCTGCTGTATGCCCACAAAGTCAGTCATTCTACTTCACAGTAAATCCTCGGAAGAGCTTTGGGACGTACACCCAATGTAGAAGGCAATATATCAAATGCAAGGATTATTATTATTATCGCTGCAGGGCTGGTCCCATTCAGCACTCACACACTCCGTACAATGGGTCTATGAGCCACCTGCTGCTCTCACATTCCCGCATTCTCCAGAACACATCTGTCAAGCAATCTCCAGCCCTCATCAGCTCAGTCTGGCCTGGGGCACTGCTCACTTAGCTAAGGATCCAGCTACCCTCTCCAGGGAGAGCTGAGCTAAGCCAAGCCATCTTACAGGTGTTGAAACACACTTGGTAAGCAGACCGGAGAAGACCTCCCCAACACATCCACACCACAGGCATACAACTGGGACACAGCGAATTTGTGGAGTTCCATAGCGTAGTGTTAGAATGCTCTTCTCACAAGCGAGAGGACCCGGGGCACTGCACTGGGGTATCATCTTAGACTACACGAGTTTATGTCGAGTTTATGTCCCCATGTAGGTTTTGAACCCACAACCTTCTGATTCAGAGGCGAGAGTGCTACCACGGCACGAAGCTGACATGTATGGTGTGAGATGGTGAGAGGCAAATGGCCCCTCCCCCTTCAACAGACACACATACAGACAAAAATGCTTTTCATTGATGCTGCTGATGAATGACTGGAGAGTATGGGTCTTGTCTGCCTGCTTGCCCACCCTCCCCCACATCTTGTGAAAGCAGCTGAGTAAATTCACATTCAGGACTGACACATGAAAAATTGTCATTTTCATAAACCACTTGGGGGAAATCAAAAAAAGAGCAATTTTCCACCTTCAGAATTATTTTTATATAGTGCTTTATCGTGCTGGGACTTGCCAGGTAATTGCCACAAACTGTAGTGACTGTTTTTGTTGGCAAGTGGATCAACCACTCTGTGCCAGCAAAATCCAACCAACAGCCATGAGATGAATGATTCAGCCCAGAACGTCATCCCATACCACGAGCTTAGGCCCAACATGTGAAACCGAGGCCCAGGCTGCCTGTTCAGGAAGACATTAAAGATCCCATGGCATTTTTCGGAAAGAGAAGGACGTTTCTCCTCATGTCCTGGCCAACAATCCCTCAAATAATATTGGTCACTCACTCCATGGCTGTTTCTGGGATACTGCTGTGTGCAAATTAGCTGCTGTATTCCAAGTACAAAACACAAAGTGCTGTACTTCACAGGATTTGCTGTAGGCAGTCTCCCAACGTAAGAAGCACTAAACCAAATGCAATGTTTTTTTTTAAAAAACAGGGCTCAAACCCCAAACCTCCTGACACAGAACTTATCAAACCTGGCTCTTTGCAAATGGGAATGAATTCAGCCTATTAAAGATAACAGCTGGGATTGAGGACCAGAGAGGGGAGCGATGAAGAGAGAAGCACAAGTTAATGAGAGTATTACTCTGAGTACATATGAGAGATAATAATAATAAACTAATAATCCTGGCAATTTGATATAGCGTCTTAGCATATCGTTGAGACATCTCAAAGTTCTTCACAGAATATATGTAGAGCAATGTAATGTCAATGTAAAGTGAATTGACTATTTTGTAGGCAAAATACAGAAGCCAATGGCGCACAGCAGTGTCCAACAAACCATCCAGAAAGCGATCCACTAAGCGACTAGCAACCGGGTTCCTACTTACTGCTCGGTAAACAGAGGCATGGGGAGTCAAGAAACTTGCCTAAGGTTTCACCCCACCCAGACATCAAACCCAGGTCCTCTTGCTTGTGAGTCAATGGCACCAACTGCTACACTATAGTGGTAATACCTCCTTATGGGGAGGTATTATCACTCCCAACGTAAAAGGTGCTATACAAATGTAATTTTGTATTACATTACTCTAAATACTCATGATAGAGTTAAGAGGAATGTTTCTCTAGGTATGTGTGAGTTGGGGGAATGCTACTTTAGGAATCGATCAGGGAAATAATACCGACTCCACACATTCTCTGTGATCCAACTTTATTGTGAAGGGCAGCAGTCAACACAAATTTCCAGTGAACGGCTAAGTTGTCTCACGCTGGGTTCACTTCAACAAGAAGTCTATTTTCTTGCTTTTCCCCCCACACTCGCAGTGAATTAATCTTTCTGTGGGAATGGGAATTTTGTATCTTTCACTGCAGCCTCCATCTCCTTCCTCTGCACTCACTGCCAACTCAGCCATTCCTTAAATTGAAACAGTAAGATGTCGGATGTACAGGAGAGAGAGAGTGTGTGTGTGTGTGTATGCAAGAGACCCTGCCCCAGAGGAACACATACAAGGTAGGGAGGGAAGCAGGTAGAAAGTAGA